TTTTTTCCCAGATAATGCGGGTATTTGTAAAAATACACAATATGAAACGGAATCGTAATTCTACTATCGTCTCATAGATGCCATGTAGTATAACTACAAACATTGTAAATCATAAATTCAAATTTCTTGCAGTGTTTGTCCAACGCTTATGGACATACTTTTGCGATTTTGTTAGACACGTCACGTGATCTCGTGACATAACAGTGGTGACTCTGGATTGATTCGGTACTGCACTTTTTAGTTAGGAATAGTCATGACAAAACATTTTACCGATCGCGAAAGAAAAGCACCTAAAGGCTGACTTTCGACCAAAAGAGGTCAGATGTCAATCTTGCTGAAGTGCCCATCAGTAAGTTGAGGACCGCTCGGAGAGCGGGGGTGGATGGAGTGGGGTAGTAAGCCCCCTCGCTAACTACATGGGGGGGGAGCTTCTACTTCAGGGCACTCAACCCGGGAGGGAGCATGGGGGGTCGGTGAGAGGGACACAGCTGCCGGGTCGCTTGAGCGAAAGAAGGGAGCACTATTGATGCAATAAGACGTGCAATCCTCGATTTCCTTCGTGAAATTGGTGGAGCAGAACCCGTGCTTATGGAATTATACATTGAACAGTTATTGCAGGACTGATTTGACAGGTGTTGCGTGGAAAAAAAAGCTAAAAAGCTGAAAGAAACAAGTAAGAAAAAGCTACATTAATTTAAGATATTCCTAGATTTCGAAAACCTATAGCTGAAGGGAGTTTGTCTGTGGATACTTTCAACTCCCAAACCTTTAATGATGGAAATCTGAAATTTTCACCACTTTTCCATCTCCGCGGGCCATAGACTGGAAAATTGTTCTGAACCGAAACACTCCATGATGCGCTAAAAACTTGTAAAAATAAATATTTTTCAATGTGTCAAGTGGGGTATCGGCTTCATCACCTATACAATAGTAAGGAAAAGAATCTTGATAGGTATTTCCAGGGAGACTAGTAGGGTTTGGAACATTCAGGCTATCTGCTTTCAGTCGCTTTTCAACGTCAGTGAAAGTAAACAAACTATCTGCCATAGCCATTAGTACTAAAGGCAGAAAAACATTTTTGTAATTCATATTTCTCGATTCTATGTTCTTGAAGCACTTTACGCGGATATATTTTCCATCGATGGAGCCAATACAATTGTGCAGATTCCACAGTTCGAAGTAGCGCTGAGTGTAGGTCGCAAAATTTTCCAAACTGCTTCACATGTGGAGCATACGATTTCACCTACTGTAGATATGCCTCTGTAGAACTGCAATGCCAGGTAAACGGAACTGCTTCCCGTAGCTAGGTACCTGAAATCATAAAAAAAATGTAAATTGATTCTACTCACAAATAACTTTCAACTTCATTGGAAAAACTCACTTATTAACTATAAATAAATAAATACGGATAAAATACATAAATAAATAAATCAATGGCCATGTATGGACTTAAATTTTCTGTAGTCCGCCTAGTATTCAAAAATCTGCTGAGCTATGTTTGTTGATTGATCTGATAATATTACTTTTGTTTAATTTCCAGAACAAAATTGCCGGGACAGGCGGAAAAATGTTCGTACCGCTTATGGGAGGTCGGTCGCTCAAGCCACCAAAATCTGGGTCTGGAGGAAAATCAAAAAAACCCTACTACTTGGCAACCCACCTTGATTTTCTCCGTCCTTACATGAAGGGAGCTTCAACATTTAGTAACGTACCACCAGAAGAAGAAACTAACACACAAGGTGATGAAGGAACACTAGATACCACGGAGCGTTCATCTAGTGGCTTGACATAAAAAAAACAAAGCACAGACACCCAGCGAACAGGAACAAGAAGACAGTGACTGGCTCTTCTTTCGCTCATTGCTTCCGGATTTTAAGAAACTTGTCGACAGACGTAAAAGAGGGCTGAAAATTAAATTTGCTACACTTCTCAACGAAGAACTGGATCTAGCTGAGACAGAAACCTCAAGCACTCCGTGCTCATAGGCTTCAGCATCGAGAAGTTATCCCACATTTCCTTCACGGGACTACGGACCTCCTGCTCTGTCTTTACATGAACAGATATTTTGCTTGTATTGGGGTATCAATAAAAATTTGTTTCTGTATTTTCGAAAGGAATAAAACTACATACCTTCTCATTTAACAACCGTTTACTTAATTCAGGAAATTTATTTATATCTAGTAGTATGAACTTACCTTAGTGTGATTAGTAGTCTCTAATCTGTCTAATTAGTAGACACTAATCTCGATAAAACATGGTAACAATTTGAGCTCGTAAATTTCTGTTCATCTTGAGAGATCACACGGGAAACTGCAGCCGAACTGTGTTTATATTGTGAACATTATATGGGATTACCCAATATTTTCTAGAGCCCGTTTCCTCTTTTGCAAGTACCGTTGCAAAAACAACGTCCTCCTTTTAGGAGCTCATGACAACTGATGAAAACAACTGCTCCGTTGCTTACCCTATACAGGCAATCATATCGCTTCAGTGTGCATTGGAGTGTTGCGAGAATAAAAGTTACATCAGGCGATAAAAGATTTCTCATGTTGCATCGCCTATATCCCTCCAGGGAGAACCACACTCACAGTAAAGACGTAGAGTTGTCATACCTATACCAATACAATACATGTATTCGAAACGGGTAACTATCCTTTTCTGTACAACTTATTGGCTTGGGGGGGGGGCGGATAATGATAGGTTATGGAGAGTTTGTTTACATTTGAAGTGAGTTGGACCATAAAACAGTGGCGGTTGGTTTAGTTGATAATCCGAGGGATATTATATATTTATAAAATAAATCATTTCAGATGAAAATGTATTCTGTTCAAATAGTTCTTTATATCGGACCTCACAAACCGTACCGCTTGTTTATCAAATCTGAGAATGAATCACAAATTTATTCATCTGATTTTATAAAGCAAAGTTCATTACTTTTGAAATGAACAGTTATCATTGTTATGAACTAGTTCATTTGAAATAATTTAATTTTACCCCATTAAATCACGCGCTTCATTATAAAGCCACTGTTTTATGGTCCAAATTACTTCCCGTAAAAAAACAAAGTTATGCTGCCTTCAATGTAAGGATGCCAAAGGCCTCTCTTTCTATTGTCTTTTGTTACTCTGAGGAACGACACCTTAGTCTGTCCAGTTGCAAGTTTCGTTATCTAAACCCGAAACAAATGTGTTGATGACAATGAAGAATCAAAAATGTTTTTTTTTCAAATATTATTCGTCATAGATGCCGCATCTGTGATGAAACATATGAATTTAAATTCCTTGTCGTGACTGTCTGTCTGTCTAAAAGCGAAAAACTCATAACTACCGAACGGGTTTTCTTACGATTTCCTCCAATTCATGGAGTGATTCAAGAGGAAATTTTATGTGCATATTTCAATGATGTTTTGTGTGAATTGGTTAATATATGGAGATGCTATTGGTAAGAAGTCGGGGAGATGGTACTACCTACTGATAAGGCATCGAGGTTCAGCAAAACAATGGCAATTAGTAATGGCAAAATTTAATCTATCCTGCTAGAAAATAAATTCAAGGTAAATAGGTACTAATCTATTTCAAAATTGAAGTTGATTGTTGAGGACGTGCTTCTTTTCTTTTCTGATGAATTTTATCGAAGATCATTATTGTTAATTACTGATTGAGATATGCGGTTTCGCTCAGGGAGTTGATATGAGATTGGACGGTAGTCGGATTAACAGAATAATCTCGAAGTTACATCCCCTAACATTGGGAAGGTTTACCCTTACAAAAAAGGGTTCGGATGGTTCACAGTGTTCCAGAATATTCCAGACCATTCGAGACTATTCTGTTATGTTCCACAAAAATAATCTGGTATGTTGCGGGACATTTCCGAATGTGATAGACTGTTATTTGCCTGAATTGTTTTGGAAAATCATAGAAGGCACAAGTCTACCCTTGTATTTTGAAATGCATGCCATTCGAATAAAAACTGGGCGCTTTTTCGTAGAAGGTATGTACTGTTGCAAGTACCGTTGCAAAAACAACGTCCTCCTCTTAGGAGCTCATGACAACTGATATGTTCACAAACGTTTCGGATTATTCTCGAATATTTCACTACATTTCAGACTATTCCGGAATATTTTGGATGGTTGTGGGATGTTGGAGAATGCTATGGAACACTCGAACTTTCAGTAGGGCGAAACTTCCAGCCCTTATGTCTTCAAAAACACGTTCTTCAGGTATAAAAGAAATTCTTTTTCAGAAATAGGAGATAGATCATCCCTTGATTGTTCCACAATGATGTAGAATTTCGGGGGTTTTTCTGAATGTTCCATACTGTTTTCGAACATTCTACAACATTCCAGAATGTTTCGGAACCCTCTTCATGGACAAGCTGATATGAAACTATACAGAAGAAATGCAGACATTCTTCTACCCATGCGAAGAAGAAAAGGCCGGCTAGTCGAATATATGTGAAAAAACTATACAGAGAAATACATCTTGTGAGGTATCATCCCGAAGATTTATTGTTTTTTTAAATAATTGTCAACATTAGCAATTTTTGATAGCAAACGGCAATAATCACCAAAAGTCGTTAAGTAGTTTGTGATGACCAACTGAAAGAGAAGGAAACTCCTTTTATATTGTAATATTTGTATGTAATGAAAATGATGTGAGGTTATCTTGAAAATAATTGACAGTCTGTGGTGAGAAAAAAGAACAGTCAATTTTCAAATGACCTGGATGATGAGGTATGGAAATTTTATCACTCGATTAATCACTATTCCTTAGTACCAGGTTTATATAGTTGTAAATACATGAAAATTGCGGAGATTGTGACCTTATATACGTATATAAAAAATTTATGAAAATTAATTCGTGTTAGGTAATATCTCCTTTATGGATTGACAGTGTGTTCTTATTCCTAACAATAATCTCAACACAAAAATATGTCAATATTAATACGGAGTATGGAGTCTGTACGGCCATAAATGAGGGAAATGCATACAAAGCCCAAAATGAGAGAAGTTTTTGTATGAGATTTTATTTGTCCTGATGATGTCAATGTGATGCACTATTTGGAATGTTTGGTGTAGTAATGAATATTACTGGAGTTTTATCCAAGACCAAAACGTTATTTTTAACACCTCGGTACGTGTTTCAATCATCAAGTCACCATCTTCAAGAGGAAAATTAAATTAATCTTGGGATAAAACTCTAGTAATATCGATGAGGTCATGTTGGTAGTCAAAACACAGAATTGATGTTAGATTTAGTATATCAGTAACTTAGTTTATATTTTTAAATATGATATTTGCATGATTTCAACAAATTCAACCATGCATACTTTCAATCCATTCAAATAAATTAGTAAATAGTGACTTTCCTTATACTTATTGCAGATTGGATAAAAGAGTTGTGACTACAAGTATAAACTATTCAATTTCACGAGAACGTCAGAAGTAAAAGCAGAAATCCTAAACGAAGACAATACAATATATTTCAATAATTCACAAAAACTTTTTTATTAACGCGTAAATCTGATAAACCACGAATGGAAGAACCACAAATAAACTGATAGCTGTAGAAGAAGCTGAGTTGCATGGTCTGTATCTTGTACCCTTTCCAGATTTGCAAACGCATATTTCGGTCTTGTATCCTTCCGGTAATTCTTGCTCGTAGCAGAAATCGCCAGTTGCTACAGATCCAGAGCTATAATGTACTTTCGCACACATGTAAGTTATGTTATTCACTGAAAAGAAACAAAACAATCAGTAGCAGTTAGAATTGCAAAATAAACCTTTACAGTTTGTGTGCACAGAGTTAATGTGTCTCGGGGATCAATTTTGACTCCTTTATTGTTCATGCTATTTGTACAACTCCAACAACTCAAGATTCAAAAATGAATAGTGGAATCATTGATGTCGTTTATGAAAGCCTTGAGTAATTGCACATGACGTGACAATAATAGCATTTTAGTAAAATTGGATGTAAAACCATCACTAAAACAGTATGTATGGGGTAAAATAAAAAAAATATGTATATAATGTGAATATATGATGATAAGATGACTTGAGAGCAACACTTCAATAATATAGTTGTAAAACTTCACTTCACTTCACAGGAGGTGAAGTGAAGTTTTAGGTTCACATTGTCCATATTTCAGCATGTGTTGGTGTTCCAGTGGGCATATACTTTTTCCATTCTTTCGTTGAATTCAGGCTCCCAGTTAAACATGCATCAAAAGTGCATCTTTTGATCTCATCTTTCATATGTTGATCATTCATCATCAAAAGAATATCATCGATATAAATCGCTTGATTTTTTCTTCAGTAGATAGTAGATAAACATAAAATATTTTTTAATGAAAACTAATGACAACTCTTTGGTTATCTATTAATTTATCATTTGGCACCGATTTTGGTGAAGTAAGAAATCAAATAATATTTTTAATTTTAATTTCACAAAATCTTCATAAGAACTCTATCGTGCCCCGGGATAGAGGCAGTATGGGAAATCCAGTAAGGGGCAGTACGGGGTACACTATTGTATTTATCACAGAATAAGCAGATGTGGATTTCTTCTAAATCTGCGACAACTCCTGCACAGGTTGTATAGGCCCACTGTCCACATAGCTGGCAACGCTCCGAAGACTTCTAATAAGTGTGGTCAGACTCAACACAATAGATGCCTAAGACATACTCCTCGACATTTTTTCCATCAGAGGGAGAAGCGTTTTCAGATGAAGTTGTTAAATTACGTCATACTCTTCGAATTGGAGACCGGGAAACGCTATTTTCGTCTTGTATATAGATGGTCCAGGGTGAGGCTCTGAGATAGGAGTTTTCTGATGTGAATGTGTCGATATTGCAGGTAAAAAAGATTCGAGTGGTACACCTCTTCAAGGGGGGGCGATAGTGGTTGCTGAATTTCAGAAATTGAAGAAGTTGTAAACGGTATGTCTGTTGTTGATGCAGCTAAATAATCTGAATCTGTGAAGTTAAATGGCCATATCCCACATTATTCGAATGCATTAATTGCCGTGCACATTATTGCAGCTTGAATATAAGCATTTGCAAAAATTTTGCTTATTTGAAAAGTTGTTATTATTCGCCCTGGGTGCAACCTTAACCAGTTAGAACAAGCATGATAATAATGTTTCATGAAGCTAACTTCCAAGGGTTGGCGCCTGTGGGTGCAATGGGCGGAAAGCAAAGCATAACAACACCATTCTTACGTGCTTCAATAACTCCGGGTTAGTTATTGAGGCCCCATTAAATTTGACGAACCGTTGGAACCAGCTCTTGAAGGTTTTACTTGTCATCCAGCCTCGAGCGTTGCATTCTGCCGTCGCCCCTGGAGGAGCTCGATCCAATAACTTCTGCTCCATTCTCTGTCGAAGAAATATCATCATAGGAGGCATATATAAGTTCCAGCTGCATTGAAACATATCCCGACGGTAATCGTCTGTTCTCGTTCTACAGAAAAAGGGAGCATACTTGCTTTTTTACTTTTCCACCAATGGTTTTGCTCTTTGTTATATATTCTATCTGGCGTTAAATTATATTCGTCATAAACTTTCCCAAGCAAAGAATAAAATTTTTTTTTTCATGAAGCTAACTTCCAAGAGTTGGCGCCTGTGGGTGCAATGGGCGGAAAGCAAAGCATAACAACACCATTCTTACGTGCTTCAATAACTCCTATATTTTGCATATGTGTTACTAACCCGGTCTTGTTAGGAGAAACAAGACCGGGTTAGTTATTGAGGCCCCATTTAATTTGACGAACCGTTGGAACCAGCTCTTGCCGTCGTCCCATGAGGAGCTCGATCCAATAACTTCTGCTCCATTCTCTGTCGAAGAGATATCATCATAGGAGGCATATATAAGTTCCAGCTGCATTGAAACATATCCCGACGGTAATCGTCTGTTCTCATTCTACAGAAAAAAGGGAGCATACTTGCTTTCTTACTTTTCCAGCAATGGTTTTGCTCTTTGTTTTGGAGACGCATGATATTCCAGTCTCGTCGCAGTTATATATTCTATCTGGCGTTAAATTATATTCGTCATAAACTTTACCAAGCAAAGAATAAAATTTTTTCACTGCCATTTTGTTAAGCCTTTAACAGATCTACGTCAGCAATCTCTATAACATGGTTAAAATTGTGAGTGAGCATTTTTTCCGCGAGCTGATAGACTAGTTTTCGTAAGACGACAGTTGTCAATTCCAATAACTGGTTCTCCATATCTCTTATATACCTAACAAGCTCCTCTTCTTCTTGTTTGGAAAATACGGGTTTAAAGTTACCTGGAGAAAATATATAAAACGGTATCCACTGAAGAATTTTTGGCCAAACATGCCCCAGAAAGATATTAAAATTGCAAGAAACTAGCTATGAATTTGGCCACAATGTTTTGCTCGACATTCCTGACTTCATTTTCTTGGGTATAACTATTTTGCAGGTCTGCAGGTCAGCAAATTGTTCTCAGTAGACACTGCTCTCGTAATCTTGAAGGAGGACAGAAATTCTTGCAGGTCGGGTCTGTCAGATATGAATCTCGACCAGGTTAATCATTTTCGACAGAAAAATTTTCCAACCCCCACCCAAAAGTTTCAGAATTCTTATAAAAATTGGAAATACATTTTGCAGGTCGGCGAAAATTCTTGCATGTCAGGTCCTCGGGATAGAGGCAGTATGGGAAATCCAGTAAGGGTGAAATACATTTTGCAAGTCGGCGGATATTCTTGCAGGTCGGGTCTCCCAGACATGAATCTCCACCAGATTGATTATGTTCGACAAAAAGAATTCCAACCTCCACCCTTTGAGTATGGAAAAATTCCACATTCCTCATTCAAACTGAAAATAAACCTTGCAGGTCAGCAGAAATTTTTGCAGGGCAGGTCTGCATCTCGACTGGATTTTTCATTTTCGATAGAAAAAAATTCCAACCCCCACTTTATAATTTCCCAATTCTTAAAAAACTTGGAAATACATTTTGCAAGTCGGCGAATATTCTTGCAGGTCGGGTCTCCCAGACATGAATCTCGACCAGATTGATCATTTTCGACAAAAAAAATTCCAACCCCCACCCTTTGAGTATGGAAAAATTCCACATTCCTCATTTAAACCGAAGATAAACCTTGCAGGTCAGCAGAAATTCTTGCAATATTGTCTGGGAGACTCGACCTGCAAGAATTTCTGCCGACCTGCAAGGTTTATTTTCAATTTAATGAGGAATGTGGAGTTTTTCCATTCTCAAAGGGTGGGGGTTGGAATTTTTTTGTCGAAAATGATCAGTCTGGTCGAGATTCATGTCTGGAAGACCCGACCTGCAAGAATTTTCGCCGACCTGCAAAATGTATTTCCAATTTTTTAAGAATTGTGAAACTTTTGGGTGAGGGTTGGAAAATTTTTCTGGCGAAAATGGTTAACCTGGTCGAGATTCATGTCTGGCAGACCCAACCGGCAAGAATTTCTGTCCTACAAGATGACGAGAGCAATGTCTACTGAGAACAATTTGCTGACCTGCAGACCTGCAAAATAGTCACCTATACACCATTATCTATGAAACATTCTTCGCCTCCACGAGAAAGGTTGTCATCTACCCTTTAGCGTGAAAGCAACCTCTAGTACAGGGTTAATTCGAACTAAGAAAAACATGAATCCAAATTTTTATGTAATTTGGTGTTGTTTGGCAGAATTATACAGTTTCATCGTATTTTATTTTTAATCATTTATGCATGCTAGAATAACAAATATATCAAGCCTCGGTAGCGCAGTAGGCAGCGCGTAAGTCTCATAATCTTAAGGTCGTGAGTTCGATCCTCACCCGGGGCAGCTTTTTTTATTTTTGTTGATACAAAAGTTTTTGCATTTACGTTATTGCTGATGGCATGTCTCGATTCAAGGAACTTAGAACTATGATAATTATTAATGACAATTTCTATATGAAGCAGAAAGATGATCCCAAATATGCCAATTTGTTCAAAATGAGACCCTTTATGAAAATTTTGACACAAAAGAATCAGAGGAATATAATTCAGTGGATAAAATTAAAAAGCAGTATAGCAAGAATAAGCCGCATAAATGGTGATTAACACTTTCGCCAGGGCTGGAATCAGTGAGATTGTGTATGACTTCAAAGTATATGTCGGAAAAAGGCACAATAAAAAACCAACTCCGCTTGGGATAAGTGGGGATATAGTAGTCAAACTATGTGAAAACCTAACCAAACGGAAAAAATTCAAACTTTCACTTTCATTTCCATAAATAACCGAAAACATTCATTGCACAACCAACAGATCCCAGCAATTTTAAATGCTTCAAAATGCAGATACGCAGAGTTCTGTACGAAAAATTCATACCAAAAATATCTGAAGATCTGAAACACTCAAATCGAAGATTCTCCTATAAGAATATCTTCATTATCGCATCAAGAATATTTTTAATAGACGACAAAACCACGAGATAATTACAAAAACTGATTTTTGCGATATATAACCTTCTGCAACTTTTGTAGCTATGCGGTTGGCTTTGTGGATTTTTTAAGAACCCTGAATTCTCAATTCTGTCCAAAAAGAGGTTATACTCGTATTCATTACTGGAAACCCATATATGATGAACAACCCTCATAGATGAGAACTTAAAATTAATTGTCATTTTTCTCACATGAACGTGCAAAAAATTATGTAATGATCATGATCAGCGAGGCGTTCAACAAATATGTTCTGAAAAATCAGAAATCATCGTGTAAGAGTATCAATCTTTTAAAAGACGTAGCAGAAGCAGATAAAAAATTGATACTGAGGGTTCCACTGTGATATAAAAAGGCGAGGGATATTAGTCTAGTTCGGAAAATAGTTCAGTACAAGTGACTGGTCATTAGCCAACAGTATCTAGCAATAATCAATGTAATTGTAATGAGATGTTGGAGTGTAGTGTTCTATAGTTGTGTTTTGAATAATTGAATAGAGATAATGGATTTTGCCGAACATGATATTATTTATTAATACCTAGGATAGTCTCCCTGAAAAATGATAATGAAATTTAATTATTAAGGTTTCTGATTTCTTTCCCATCAGCTTGGTTTTACATCAACTTTGATTTGAGAGATTCGACAGGAACCTCTGTTTGAGAACAGGTTATATCATCATATATCATGATCTATAAGATTCACTTCACCCATACACTCTTATCACAATGGTGTGTGGAAAAAGCAAAGTATACAGATTTTCTACAGAGCTTAGTTCTGAAATTAATCCCATCTAATGAACCTTACCTCGATTATTGAAGTAATAGGTATACTTCACGCATCGCTGGTTTGTAGTTCTTCTGCATAAAATGCTAGTTTTGTGATTCTCCCAGAGATAATCCATATTAGGTTTCGAACCATCATCTATAGAAATAATAATCAGGTATAGATAAATTTCAACTTACGAAAGGTTATTATGATTTATCACCAACATATCATAAAGGTGTATTATTTTGTTAGATTGATATAGAAACTAATAAAAAAAGACTTACAAGAGATTACAATTGGTGGTGTACAAGGTATATCTTTGGCCCTTTTCTCTTCCAAGTAATCATCACATGTCCCATTATATCTGTGGGTGATATTGTCGTAATCTGGACCAAACCATGTGAACTCCAAACAATACTCCCAATCTTCTTTCAACTCAGGATAGTCACTTGTTACGTTGGTGCTGCTTATATTAGTTTGACCTACAAATCAACGAATTCGGTCTGAAGCCCTCGATTTCATAATCACTACTTATATCCCAACACAAATATTCTGCTATTGACTTTCATAGACAAAATGTCCACACCCAATAAAATAATGAATATTATTGTGTCTAGTCCAGTTTTGTGAGAAATGGATTTGAGGTAGCAAATATTCCTAAGGAAATGGTCAGTGTAGTATTTGAGGTAATATAGCTATAGCATTTGATACACCTTGAAAGGTCATTAAATTGTTTGGGGCATATGCTGGGGGGCATGTATATAGCAGTGACAGACATGTTTTGTTTTTTGGTCATTAGATCCCCTTCCAGTACTTCTCCAATATTTTTTGATAGACAATCACGATCTAGAGTTTCTTTGACATATACTAACACTGGTGTGTTATTCAGATTGTTCTATATCCAGTTATATTCATCAAAGTGAGGTCATCTATTCTGTAGGTTTCGGACAATATAATAAGATCTGTTATTTGTTCGAACTGATTCAAAAATATCAGAAATTTATTAAAGCTTTTTGCTACACTACATATATTTAGGTGAATACACATTAATCCATCGAATTCTTTTAATTTCAGTTCAGTTGGATCTCGAAGGGTTCATTTTTGTAGTCTCTGCAGATATATGGGTCCATCTTGTATACAGTATTATTTATTCGAGATTTTACCTCAGTTTGAGAATATGTGAACATTGAATCTATAAATTTTATTGGTTCATTGATTGAATAATATGGGCTTGAAGTTTCAATTCAAAGATACTCAATATTGAAATTGCAACTCAGTATTTAGGAAGTTGGTTTAATCAACTCTGTTTGTTTTTGAGTGCTCGTGTTTCTTCAGCTTTGATATGCTGGTTTCTGTTGACATTATATCTTTATATGGAGTTGGTGATCCGTGTCTGCACACTCATCAATTTTTTCGTTGCCTATGATACCTGAATGTCATGGCACCCAAAATAGAGTTAATTTGGTCCCATTTGCCAATTTTCTCACTTTTTCAGGACATTTCCAGACTAATGTAGATGTCACTTTTCGGTTCATCGATGCCCCAAGTGTAGCCTGCTGCGGTCTGTAGAAATATTGATACAATAATTTCATAGAGCCTCAAATCAATGTCCCTCTCACATTACTAGATTGCGAACACGTCAGCCTGGAAGATTGATGTGTACTGGTGAGTAACTGAATTGAAGATTCCTCTCCGCTCTGAGAATTCGGGTTCGTGATGTCCCACACTCGGTTTCTGGAGCTATTGAAATTTACTTCAGCTGCATCTCATTTTTCTCTTTTTAGCCTACTTATATCCTTTTGAATATGTTTTTCCATTGGCCATCTATCACCCTCCCCCTACGAATGACGACCCTCAATCAATCGTCTGGCCTCCAAGCTCGAACCAACGTTTCACCTAGCGGTTGATTAAATGAGTGGAACAAATCACTCATGCCAACCCAACCGGCTAGCGCCCCGCCAAAGGAATACGTTCCTATTCAATCAATGATAATGATGATCATTTCAATTGAAAAATTCATTGTTGATTCAAAATTCACTTCACATTCATTTTTCTACAACTATAATTTCTTTCTTTTTCTCTATATTCCCGCCGTCTCTCTTTGTCTATTATGAACCAATTCATAAATTACTCGAACTAACTCAGAAAATATATCATATATGTATCTATCTATAGGGGACTCTGATTCTGAATGTACCAATCTAGAAAATGACAAGCTTACCAAAAACGCTTGTGGTTGACCAGACCACAACTATATAAAGATAGACAGGTTTCATTTTTTTTCCTTAGTACACAGCACTTATTTTTGATACTCAATCATTGTGAGCCAACACTTATCGAATCAATGAAATTAAAGAGGGAGACTATGTACTGAGAGTTCTAATAATCGAGTGAATGATTAACTTACCTATCTTATCAGATTTGGCAACTTACCTTTGTTATATCTCACTGATTATTTTATTATCTATCTAATCGTCGATATTTCAAAGAAACGTATGAAGATTCCAGTCCAAATTTATTATGGTGGAATATAGATAAATCGTGTTGCCTCATATGTAGAATAATTTCGTTTGTTCAGTTTGACTGAAATTTCTCGGCTTTTATTTTGTTTTCGAAAACCAGAAATAACTAAGTCGAACAATTTTTTCATGCATAAAGACTTTATTTGAAAAGAATTATTTAATAGATCTCATTTTTATGGAGTCAAATATAAAATGTTGATAAATGTAATATATCTCTGAAACAGTTTTCTGGTAAGAACAACATTACCTACACTTATAATGTTTTAGAAAGATTTATCTCTTCCATTATTGTAGATATATTTGCTACTGACGAAGGTTTTTACCAATTATCAAGGCTTATTTTGACAATTCATTATTCAGAATTTTGAAATGAGGGTATCTTCAATAGAAAATTGTTTGTTAGTTTCTAATTTATTTGGCAGTGCCTTCATTTATAAATATAAAAAACATTTTCTAACTACTAGATCTGCTATAAAAACAACATGAAATACAACTCTGAGAAACTATTAATGACCTACTTCTGAGTTCGTACGCTCCTGACTTCTACTACAATTCAGCTAGCCAAATAAACGCGACAAACTCCCAAATACCAATATCACTTCTCGAAACGGTGACTTGAAATATCTCAATATTTCAACTCACTCAAAGCTTCTTCAAGAATTTCCAAATTTTGTAGGAAATTCAACTGAACTAGACAATTCTCCGCGCACGACTCCCTTTACCTCAATTCAACTGAACCGCGAATATTGATCAATCCCGGTGCCCTAAACTACCACGTATTTCAGTACCTCCAGAATTCACTCAGAACTTTGTAGGAAGTCCAACCGACCTACTTCTGAGTTCGTACGCTCCTGACTTTTTACCTCAAGTCAGCTAGCCAAATAAAACGCGACAATTCTCATTACTGGAATCCCTCCCGACCCAGTGTCTTGAAACACTTAGCACCTCAGTCCCTATAATAGCTTTCTCAGCAACCCCCCAAAAGGGCCAACTGACCCGATTAAGAGCCCCCCCCCAAACGACCCTATATGGTCCGCGCACGACCGACTTAATTGTCCCAAACAAATTTCCACCTTAACTCTGTTAGGGGATGTAATTCAAACACTGTTGACACAGCTACCCTGTACGGGGTAGTTCTACCCCTCTTGAACTTAATTTCACCCTCTCGCCCCCTCAAGCAAATCTACCCCGCTCAGATATAAAGCAAAAGAATGTGAAACAAAAATTGAAAAAATGAACAAATATTTTGAATTTGTATCTACCGCGTTACACGAGCCGAGTACCATTGGCAACGTTGGCGTAAACTGAGGTGCTCGCACCAAGTAGATGCATCAACTACGATTACAAACTTGAAGATATTCGCTCTGGTGTAGACGAGACATCAATATGTCGAGCAAACATAAATGTATAAATGTTTATATTATGTGCAATCTCAGTCTGTGATGTACATGCTAGTTGTATGTATAGTTGAAGTAACCATTATTGTGCACTATTAAAGTTGTCGACAGTCTTAAAGGTAAAAAAACCAACAAATAGAAATGTAACGGCAGCAAACTAATCTTCGTGGACTGTAGACTTGGCGGTTCATATTGGATGATTTTTACTAACCGAGTGTTGTGATTGGCCGAAGAGTCATAAAATCAAATTTGAAATCATCTTACGGTGAGGAACAAAAATTATTGAATGCGGCCTTTGGTTATCGCTGCCGTGTACAGTTCAGGAACTGACTTTTTCCAGTGTAGTGATTCCAATAGCGATGATGAACAAGGCGAAAAAGAGATACCAGTGAATAAGATTCGGATGCATTTGAATATTGAAACACAGAGAGTATGTTTCAATGTATATAAGAATCTACATCTCANAATGATTTATTAACTTTTATAAAATTTCAGGTAGTTCTTTGGGATAAAATTATATTGAGAGGTGAAAATGCTGTGCTAGATTTCAAAAATATGAATACAAAATATTACTTCTGGGATGATGGTAACGGTTTGAAGTAAGTTTCATTTTCCCTTGTCTAGTCTATCATGAAAATAACATGTTTCGATTTTCAGAGGGAACAAGAATATAACCCTGTCCCTCTCGTGGAATATCATCCCAAATGCAGGACTTCTACCTAATATTTTCGCCAGTGGAAGTCATTCTTTCAAATTTCCCGCGGAATATACTACAACTAGAATGTAAGAATATGTATGACTGTGAATATTCTTTAAAAAAATATATACAAATAACGAAAAATATTATACATAAAGAGTTTATTACAAATTATAAATTGCCATAATATAGTCCTAAATAAGAAGTTTATTACAGTTCATAAGTTGTCATAAATAAGGTGTTCATAATGCACACGCGATCTCGAAGAGTAGTGGCTTCAGCCAAAATAAATAAAGAGAGTGAAGTCAGCAGTTGGGTAAAAAATGATTCGATTTTCCTTCCTCAACCTAAATCAACAAGGGGTACGACAAAAAAGAAATAAGTAGTTGCAATTCAAGGTAAGTAACACTTTAAATTAACTAACATTTTATATTTTTTGCTGACAGAACATTTTGATGATTCAATGTATACTAGTGAAAATAATATTTTAATACAAAACTTCATTTCAACAGTGGTGTTTAGCTAAGGTTGATGATTTGTTGTTCAAAAATAAGACCCCTATAGTACTTTAAAATCGGATAATAGAAACTAGGATTTAGATTTAAAATAATAAACAAACGTCAAGCAGTAATGGAAAGCAGAAGAATAGTGGAATTGCGTAATAGATTCTAACATGCCTGCAAACAAAAGATCGCGACTAATCATTGTGTATTGCGGAGGAATTAAAGAATGGGCTCTGAATTCTTTGAAATTATGTAGAAAAAAGTTGAGGACTGCAATATTGACTATCATAAGAACATGGAAGCTAATATTTTCGAGGAACGGTTTGAAAATACATCGATCCCAAATTTGGATGCGATGACATGTGACATATTTTTGATTACGATCGTCAACTTTATCATAGAACATCGCATACGTTGATGCGTCACTGTGATTGGTGTCATCATGTGAATGTGGTTACACCCTGGTTCTACCCCGCTCACTTTCAGAAATCTACCTCGATAAAAAAATATCTTGTGGCAACACTGAATTCAAATAATCTCATATAAATTGCCACCAATCTGAAAGTCTGAAATTGTTTCCAAGACTGGTACTTTTAACGTCCTCTACATGTCCAGCGAATAAGTCCGCAAGAATTCTCGACTGGTCTCCGATATTTCTGATGTCGTGAGCCTGCTACTGATATATAGATGTCACTGCAAGGGTTGTTTTGATATTTTCCTCTGTCTCGAATAAGAGGTATGTAGACTATCCCAAACGGATGTCTTAATTTCATCATGTCATTAAAAATTTGAACTCATAAAGTCATAAAATATTTATCGATATTTATTAAACTTTTAAGTACTTATTGACAGTTATTCAAAATGGGGTACACAGACTGAATAATATATTTTTGACCCTTAACGTCATGATAATGATGAGGTTGAATGTTCTAAAATATCAGATTTCTAAAACATCAAGTAGTTAATTTTAACGACTTTTCCTTTGATTGGCTTCGCTCTTGTTGACCTAAAGTTATTTCTAAAAGTTGAGAAAGGTTCCCTTTTTCTACGAAAACCCATCTATTTTGGTAGTCAATATTTAACGAAAAATAAATGGTATGGCTACCCATTCCAAGTTTTAATTTTGGAATTTTGAAATGATGTGCATCGTATCAATAATTTTACATACAATATCACTCCATTCCAAAATGTTGATATTGAGATATCAACTTGTTATTGTCCAACATTGTAACTTGATGCGGCATTAACTGGATCTCTTTATCAAGGATTCCGTAAGTTGAATGTTTTTGATAAAATATATTACATAGATGAAAGGTTCAATGGATCGTACCATAAATTTTATCCAATAAATACAAGTTTTACCCCGTGGTTTTTCCATATTATGTAAGTCTCAGTGGGATAGCCTTCATAGATGATGCCAGAAAATGCGAAGAAAAAAAAATTATGAAGAAGAAGATGTGACACCATTAGAGGTTAAGTATTAATTCTTCAGTTTGGCACTTCTCATCTGACGTGTCTGTTAAACTCTAAAGGAAAAATATTTTATTGATAGTTTTTTAACATGCACTCCCTTCTTCAAAGAGGAAATTCTATCTTGGCATATGCCCTTAGTGTTTTGGCCTGCTTAACGTTCGCTTGTTTCGCATCAACAGTTTTCCTCAATTATGTTACAAATGCTAACATGAATACCGTAAAAGTAGTAGTGTGAGTACTTGTTCAATATCACGTTAATTCTTACAACGTAATGTTTGTTTTACAGTAAAAATGTACCTGACTACAGCGCAAGTCGAGAGAAGAACGATCTCGGATTCCTTACATTTGATTTACATACTGATCTTACAGGCCTCTTCAACTGGAATGTCAAACAGCTATTTCTCTATCTCACTGCAGAATATCAAACACCTAATAATGCATTGAACCAGGTTAGATATTTGATGAATATTGCACAGATTAGTTTCAGGCAAAGTGTGTTATTCGGCAAATAATATTTTCTCAAATCTAGTTAAAACCACATGAGATTGATACTATTTATCTAGGCCTTTGATATGTTTGGTTATAATATTTTGAAACATGTACCAGATCTTCATTCGATGAGTGTTATTCTCAATCTTAATAGCACATACCTACAATGTAAAGTAGTACAGTATAGTAGAGTACATATAGAATACGTAGAGAGCTTGAAATGTTTTCAGATAGGAAATTGCTTTCTATTTCTCTGTAGTTTTCACTGCTAAAAGGCTACTAGATAATATCAAAGACAAAGAATATTGAACTGAAGATTAAATGCCAGACGTCAGTCAGAAATATCATTAGTACATTATTTGGTACCTGTATCATTGAATCATGAACAAAGAGGTTTTGGTACTTTATAAAGACTTTTTGTAAGTCAATTTGTTTGCTGTTTTTCTGAGTTTTTCAACCTTCCAGAATCTGAAAAATAAACAGAGAATCTGCTGAAGTGTAATAAAGGGCAAACTGAAAAGTTTGTAAGTAAAAGATACTAGCTGGCCATTGTACCATAACTATGTTAGAAGAAATATCAACTTCCAACTTCAGTCAAGTACATCAAGATTCTTTTAATATTCATCTCTATTTTGGGGACCAAATTACTCAATGATTTATTAACTTTTATAAAATTTCAGGTAGTTCTTTGGGATAAAATTATTTTGAGAGGTGAAAATGCTGTGCTAGATTTCAAAAATATGAATACAAAATATTACTTCTGGGATGATGGTAACGGTTTGAAGTAAGTTTCATTTTCCCTTGTCTAGTCTATCATGAAAATAACATGTTTCGATTTTCAGAGGAAACAAGAATATAACCCTGTCCCTCTCGTGGAATATCATCCCAAATGCAGGACTTCTACCTAATATTTTCGCCAGTGGAAGTCATTCTTTCAAATTTCCCGCGGAATATACTACAACTAGAATGTAAGAATATGTATGACTGTGAATATTCTTTAAAAAAATATATACAAACTCCAGCAGACTTGTATCACCTTTACCATTTTTGTTTGATAATAAAATCAAATCAAAAATCATGTACATGTTTAGTATATTGAACTCCTAACATGGAACCCCTGAGTGCTCCTTTCAGGTAGGAGTTCAGTTATGGACTACTCAACTCAACCAAGTACCATTTCTGTTTCAATATAGGTATATAAATTTTCATGAGTAGACAAAAATTGGAAAAATGTCAAATTATTACAAATTGTTATAAAATCAAATTGATACCTACTTTTTGTAGGAAATGGTTCCAAAAAGCTCTCAATGCTTCAACAGTTTCCGCCTCTAATGTAGGCGAGTTCTTGGGTTCAAAATTTTTGATGAATGGGCTCATTCAGGCTAATTCAGTTTTTTATTGAAAATTGTATATCATAAAAGTGAATCATCTCCCAAATATCCCACAAAATTTTCCGGTTTTTATGTCCATTAACAACTGAGCAAGGGCAATTGAAAATGTGAGATCGCCCGCGGTACATCCTGACGTCACACCAGGCAATGAGCTTCGAGCGGTGGCAACCTGGCCTGTAGTTGGAGATTATGAATCGCTGCCATCGTCGGATTTTGTTTCATTTGCTTACTGGTTTGAAAATATCACGTGTTACATATTCACGCAGTTGATACACTGCAGTAAACAACACATAACTTGTTCTCTACGGCTTTCGCACACGTATTTCGCTTATCCGCCAGCACTCCCTTGTCGCCGAGTTGACTGATGTGACGTCAAGCTTGACCACATTCAACTATTAATTTAAGGGGGAAGATAATGAGTGAAAATTCAATTTTTTTTGCAGATGTACTATTTGAAACATAAACTTTCAAATAATGAAATAAAAAAAATTGTTAAATGAGCCCATTGTTTCAACCAATGAAAATTTAGTAGTAGTTTATTTAAATAGGAATTCCTAATATACACTAACAAAAAGCATTTAACTTATTCAAAATACTTTCACTTAAGATTCAAATAATGAAATAAAAAAAAATTGTTAAATGAGCCCATTGTTTCAACCAATGAAAATTTAGTAGTAGTTTATTTAAATAGGAATTCCTAATATACACTAATAAAAAGCATTTAACTTATTCAAAATACTTTCACTTAAGATTCAAAATACCTTTACAACTATAAAAAAACTCATGTTAGTGTGTCCTTATATTTAAAAGAATTAAATCAATCTAGTATTTATTTAAAATCAAGATGAAGAAGAAAACGAGTTTACGTGAATATAAAATATATCACTAATATTGTATGCCTAATAAACAACATTGGTTTGATTTCTGATGTATTCAATTAATTTGTGTTTAGACATAGTCATTGTCCTTGCATTTTTATCATTTGTGGAAGTCAATTCTAAATCAATTCAAGAATCTAAACCTTTAAGAACAGAATTCATGGTCATTTTCAGATTTGTTCTATTTATATGGAAATTTACTCTATTTCTAAAAGGAATAATTGTGGATGTTGATTCAAAATAACAAATTCATTAAAATACTCAGGTTGGCCTCCCTGTGTTATCTTGAATTTGAATGTCATAGTCATATAATCCAAAAACATACAAACTAAAACAGTGAGTAAGCCAACAGATAAAAACATCGCTGATCTAAAACCTACAAATAAACTTGTTATACAGAGTGACCCACCTCTCAAATTGAAGGAAGTGGCAAATGAAATCTTGAAAGTTCAGACTCAACTAAAATTTGATGAAGTTGTCAAATTGCAAATTGACTCAAAAGCAGGTCCATCAGAATCTTCCCACGGTGGAAACTGCAAAGACACCTCAGAATGGCAACAAGTAGATGTACAACCAAAAGTTTGGTTGTACATCTATCGAGTAACTGAAGATGTTGAGGAAGATGACATCAGAATTTTTCTAGCTGAAAAAACAGCATGTCTCAAAGAAAATTTCATAGTAAAGTACATCAGAACTGATGAAATGAACAACTTGAAATCTTTCATGGTTGCTGCCGATTTCAAGTTCAAGGAGAATTTCTACGGGGAGTCGGTTACAGAAGATACGACTTTAGAAGAGATCTTCTCCAATATGAAGGACAACCAAGATCTTTTTTAGAACTAAAGTACAAAAACAAACAGAATCGAATCTAAATAATATAAGCTTATCGGAAACAACGAACAGCAACTACAGTGGCGTCCCAGGTTCAAACATTACTCATGAAAAACTAGGTCCTGTTGAAGAACTAAAAATTCTACATCTAAATATTCAGTGCCTTCGGAATAAGATTTTGCAACTAGATAATTTTGTTAATTGTCTCAATAACCTAAGTGTACTGTGCCTAACTGAACACTAGCTATTTACAAGTGTTATACTCTTAAAAATTAATTTATATTTATTGCCGACATAATCATATACATGGAGGTACTTGTATCTACATAAATAATTTTTTTGATGGCAAAGAAATCATCGAAATTAAACAGATATCTCAAGAATTTCACTGTGAACTTCTCTTCAATTTACTTGTATTATCTGTATACTGATCACCCTGTAGTAACTCTGATTTTACTAAGTTTTTAAACATAATGACAGAAGCTCTCATCTATATAGAAAGGCATTATAGCAGAGCTAACGTTGTTATATGTGGCGATTTCAATGTAAATTTCCTAAATCCGGAGAAGAAAACGAACTTAGTCGTTGACTTGTTTCAGCAGTTTAATCTGAGCAAAAAAATTCATTCACTCACCAGAGTGATGGGAAAGTCTAAAACATGCCCTGATAACATATTCTCAAATATAGAGAGTTCAAATGCAGAAGTTCTTAGTGTTCCGCTGGCAGATTATGATCCTCAAATCTTCACATACAAAATCAGGTGTGACAAAAATACTAATAAGAAATATGAGCTAAACTTTTCCAACAAAAATCTAAGTGTATTCAAAACTCATTTCACTGGAGAATCATGGTCCGACGTGTACAGTAAATCGACATCTGAGGAAATGGCGCTAAAATTTCACGAAATATTCATGACACATTTTTAAAATTCTTTTTCTTACATTGAATTAAGATCACTGAAAAAACCCACAATGTCGATTATTGGAGAAATAATGCCAACAGCAAAAACTAAATGTTCAATTGGCATATGACATGAATAAAAAATCTCCTAGCGATTTCAATAAATTGCAATACGAGCTGAGTAAAAAAAATACAATGGAATGCTGATTATCAAAAGGGGAGTCCCACAAGGATCCATACTGGGGCCTTTCCTGTTCCTAATTTATGCTAATGATTTACCTTCATTTATGCTTCTCAAACTTGAATTACTGACAATATTATACGCTGACGACACGTCATTTTCTGTACATATAGATAGAACCCGTGATGTTGATAACATATCGGCAAATATTTGTGCCTCTGCTAAACAGTGGTTTGACTCTAATGAACTGTATAGGAATGAAACAAAAACAGAAATTTGTGTATTTTCAAACTATCGCACTGATGCCATTTCTACATCAGAAAGTATAAAATTTTTGGGCGTTCATCTTGACTCGTCTCTTGCCTGGACCACCCACATCAGTAATCTTTGCAACAAACTAGCAAAATCTGTTTATGCCATTAGGCGAATAGCTACAACGGCTGGTCAGAAAGCAGCTCTAATGACATACTACGTCTTGTTCCACTCAGCACTGAGTTATGGGTTGCTGTTCTGGGGTAATGCAAGGTACACCCATCTTCAAAGAGTATTTGTCTTGCAAAAAGCTGCTGTACGTAGCATTGCAAAAGCTGAATATAATGAACACTGTAAGCCTTTGAGAATACAGGAATCATGACTCTATTCTCACAAATTATCTTCAACAATGTTCTGCATGTCAAAGAAAATTATCACACACTCACAACACACTCTGATATTCACTCCTACAAAACACGCAATGGAAATAATATTGTGCCCCTCTTAAGAAGATTGGATAAAAGCAAATCAATTTACTTCCTAAAAATCAAACATCTGCCACTCAGACTTTTCAGAAATACAGTGAAAATACTTCTCACTAAAATGAGCCTGTATACTCTGAGTGACTTCAATGTTACTCTTAAGGATTCGCTTGGAGATACCTAGTGCATCTTTTCCACTTTTCATTCCTGTTTCTTTATTCATTAAGAATTTTTAAAATGCATTTCATACTCTACATTTAATTTTATTGTTACATTAATACAGCTTCTTTATGAAACTGTGCAATATAATGGGTGACTTGTCCAAAATATTTGTATTTTTTATGGGCGCAATAAAGTTCTATTCTATTCTATACCCTGCTATTTCTTAACTCTTTTCCAGTCCGTGCAATGTATTAACAAGACGAAAATTCATCGCTCTTGTTGTGCTCGTAATTTTTGGTATAGGTGTTACTGTTGTTAATTTTCATTTCCCGGGAATTAACCAGTTTGTACAGACACTAATGAAGCTTAGAATTGCATTGTCTGTAATATCAAAAGTGCCCTTGATAAATTTTATACTCAATATATCATTATTGTTTTTATTTGATAGGCTAGATACAATGTTCTCTAATTCTTTGCGTTTTGAATGGAATAGATTTACTATTCGGTTGACTCATCGATAAGTTTAAGAACTCTTGTTTTTTGGTCATGTCTCGGTAGTTTTGCTGGTTCGAATATATTTTAAGTTTTTTCAATTCATTCAGTTTAATTGTTGTAAGAACCATCGATCTTTATTATTAGCATTACCGCTGTACATTATCTTCAAAAAATATTTTGAAAACTAAATCTCTAGCAGAAAATTATGCAAATGCATTTATGTTGTATATATTTTTATATATCGTCTGTGCATGATAGAAGAGCCAGCATGGGATTTCCGAATACTGTTAGAGATAAAGTCTATAGAATTAGAAAACTGATTTTCAAAATAATTAAATTCATGGATGTAGCCGTTACTACGTGGTAGGAAATCATCATAAAAAATGAAATTTTCAATTCTCATTTTTCAAAATAATTCTCTGCATGATGTTCTTGGTGCAACATTATATAATACCCTCATTAATTTTTCTGCCTATTGAATTATTTTTTAAGATATGGGCTAGCCCCCCAAAGAACAAGCCATATTGTAATGCTGATACAACCAGTATGTTATTCTCGTCAATATATGTAGTTTATTAAAGGTTTCAAGAGTTTCACTTACCAAAAATTGAAGTCAGTTTGAATATTCAACAAAAGGTTCTGCAATAAAGACAACCAAACTTTACCACTAATTTCAAGAGAACCTTCAAAAGTAGTAGTTATATTGCAGTTCTCACTGAAAAAAATGATCAAACTTTGTTGCAGGGTATCAGATGAACTTAATCAGTTACTATTAATCTTGTTCTGTTAGGCAATTGAGACTGTATCGATTTGTGTGGTTGACCGCAAATTTCCATTCCCTCTTTAAGATATTGTATTCCACAATATTGAATGCATAACTAATATAATAAAAAAATCCTATTGTTTTTTATCTCTGTGTGAATTAGAGACAAACTCTAAACAATCTTCAACTGTTGCGGCTCTGGATTTTTTCTTTCTTAAACCACCAGTCCAACTAAGGAAGCTACTGTTGTAGTGAAATACATATTGGAAATGAATTATATGTTGTGAAAATTTGTATTATTCATTTCACATAATTGGTTATACATATTGTTTTTTAACATTTTTTTGTATAAATCAAAATATAGCTAAATTTGAATATGACATCCAGTAATGTAAACTATTTTTTCTAAATTCGTTTTTCCACAGTAGAATAATCTTGATTTCTCAAAATATTTTAATAATCTAGAATGTACTTACTGAGTTTTCAGTAGTTTTGAATAAAACTGTTGAAACTGAAATTGGTTGATATTGTCATTCGGGTATTTCTGAAAACAGATGTAGCTATGCTGGGAAAATTCCCAGTTTACTAAAGAGAAGAAAAAATAACTGCATCAATAATCAAAATTAATTGGTGATTTATTTTTATACTAACTGAAACAAATGAGTACCATTACTATTATCATAATGGATGAAAAATACAAATATATCGGGTTACATAATCACAAAATGAATCAACAGTGCAATAGTATTAAAAAACAATAAATTATGTAAAAAACAGATATATAACATTCACACTTAAAAGTATTATAGGTACAGAATGAAAAACACAAGGAAATATTGGTCCCTGCCCTTCATGTGGTACTTTCAATATCAGTCTGTATATTTTTGTCTTCCTGTTTGAGATTTCCGCACCTCTGGGCAATATCTAACATTTTTCTCAATCCCTGAAAAGTGGAATAATTATCAAGATATCATAGAAAATTATTAAGTTTTTTAATGAGGACATTGTGAATTATGAACCTTACATTTCAATTTATAGTTTTTATTATATTCTCCATTAATTTGTCACTTCACGTAAAAACATAAAATCTACATTTGATATTGATGAAAACAATAATAATAACCTTGATTGCTCAACTGTTTCCCATTTAAAGAATAATATTGAATGATAATTAAAATAGTATTTGTATATTCTAATACCTAATACAAAAAAAAAATAGCATCTACCTACATGCATCCTGATTATTTTGATCAGTTCCTTAATCAAGCAACAATAAATATCATGTTATATACAGTTCCAATTGAATTAATTAAATATTGTATATATTGGAGACTAGCGACCGGCCCCGGGTCCATACGGGTTCAATGCTATTACTAAATATAAATTCACCCACCGGAAATTTAAGGGCATGGAGAAACAGTGATGAAAAGGTAACTTTATTTTATGAACGCGCCTTTTTTTCCCCGCGGCTGGCGACCAGTGCTTTCTATTGCACATCTACAATATAAAAGAACATACATACATAATTTCTTCCTACAAAAATATAGCGGTGCAGAGAAACAGTGATGAAAAGGTAATTTTCATATGTAAATGCGTCCCCTTCATCCCCAGTGTGGGTGCCCCAGTTGGAATATTTAAAAATTCTTTCTTATTGCACATCTACAACATGAAACGAACCTACATACAAAATTTCAGTCTCCGAAAATATATCGGTAGGGAGAAACAATGATGAAAATGTAATTTTCATATGTGAATACGCCACTCTTATCCCCAGAGGGGGCGCCCCAGTTGGAATATTTAAAAATTCTTTCTTATTGCACATCTACAACATAAAACGAACCTACATACAAAATTTCAGCCTCCGAAAATATAGCAGTACAGAGAAACAGTGATGAAAAGGTAATTTTCATACGTAAATGCGTCCCTTTTATCCCCAGTGCACCTATATACCAAAGTTTAGCTTTCTAGGACTCACCAGTAATAATAATATTTTTTGATTTCTTTAGGACATTCTAATATACATATAGTATTTCAAAAATATACAAATAACATATAAATAACAAAAATGATATGATAGAAGAAAAAAAAACCTTTTTTCAATGATTCCAGAAGGGTTCCAACATGAAGATATACATAACAAATATATTACAAAACAGAAAAAAAAATCAGGGATGAGATTTTATATAGTTCATGAGTGACCGGTTTGATCCCATTATCAAGTACATATAAGTTTTATACTCTTGATACTGGGATCAAACCCAAAACCAGTCAAACCGGTTGTATAAATAAAATTTTCCAGTGGTATTTAGACAAAAGTGTTTTTATTCATTTCATTTAAGTGATCATGAATTACCATAAAGTAAACAAGTCATCAATCACACATAATAGTTCATGAGTTTTTTTTTGTTAAGTGGTTAATATATACAGAATTCTTCCAAATAAGTTAGAAGCAAGTTATGCGTTAGTTTGAAAATTAATATCATTGCTGACTCGTACAGTCTCTTGGAAACAGACAGCCACTTCAAAGTACTTAACATGTTTGATATACTAGTATACCTATTCACTTGTAAAAGAATCCTCATTTCACGATTCTGTAACTTTTGTAAAGCCGATACCCTATTTTGGTCAAATGAGTATAAAAGACTAGCACAATAATCACAAATTTTTTCAATACAAGGCAAAGTGTTAATTGGTCTAAATTCCCAGGATTTATTTGTGTTAGGGACTTTCTGAATTGGCACAAGGATACTGGTCTTGAGCTCCTTCGGGAATTTGCCAGTGCTCAAAGATGTATTTATAAAATGCAATAATGCATGTCCTATAAAACCAAACAATTTTTTAATAAGTTTGCAATTAAGTATCTCACTGCTGTATTTCATGTACGGAGAAACAAAGATGAATGAGTGAGTGTTAAGTAAGTGACTTTCACATTTATATGTACAGATTTTAGGCAAATATTTGTCCTCACTTTTTGAGGTTTAAAGGTGAGATTATTAGGTCTCATATATGAAGCGATGATAGAGATAACCTGATCTATATTTCGGCAAAATCAAGTGCTTTCATTAGTTTGCAAATGTCAAATTAGTTTTGAAATTCAACAGATTACTCTTATCTTCTTTCATTATTTAGGAAAAAGTTCTGCTCATTTGACAAATGTAAAATTGTGGACAAGAACCACAAGCCAACTTCTATACTCCTGATCCATCCGCCACTGAAGTTTATTAGTCACTAAGTAGGTGAAAATTCATATGATTCACATCAATTTATGAAAGAGCTTAGTATGTAAAATTCACTTACTATGAACATGCCCCAAGAAGCTATTTTATAGTAAACACATGATGTGGTTTTGGAAACTTTTTAGTGAAAATCACACAAATAAGTGTTACTCAAATAGAAAATATTCAGGTAAGTTAATTAGAACATTTCATTTTGGTCATTATTTATGTTTTAACTAACTCACCTAATATTTTGGAATGGTTATTTTTGGTATCATTTTAAAATGTTGTTCATTTTAATTTTATTTTTTGTTACATAAATTTCAAATTTGTCAACTCCCGTGTAGACAATGAAAGTCTGAATTTGAAACTTATCCAAGAAACATGGTCAACCAACCACATTCAAACAATATCATGTAAAACATTGTTGAATGAAATAATTCGTAATGGCTGAGTCAATGGTGAATCATCAAAATGAATAAACTTCTGAAGAAGCCAGCCACTTGTGCTGGTGAAACATTAGGATGCAGTTCCAAACTACAACAGCCTTCAAACCCAAATGAAGATAATAACACTGAAAATCTCAACTGCGAAAGCCTAAATCAATTTATCTTACACCAATTGTAGTACAAAGTACAGGTACATCTAAATCAGTCTCATTCTCAGTATTTTTGAAAATCTCAAAGTAATCAGCAAACAAGAAGAAATTAGATTGTTCAACAATCAGAGAACTGTCATTAATAAATAAGTTATAAATCGGGCCAGAATGAGAGCCACGTGTAACTCTCAAAGTTATATGAATTGTTTTGAAATGATCCTCTCTATTTCAACTCACTGAATTATATTAGTGAGATAACTTTCTACCCACTTGATCAATCTGTTCAACTTGTGGAAGCTATTTTATAGCAAACCATGTCACAATTTTGTAAACCTTTCAGACTCAAAATCTCACAGAAAACTATCAGTAAGTACTACATACAACTTGCTGACTTTCATTTTCAAACTGAAACACAATATTCCACCTACAAATGTATGAAAATAGTATTTTGTGGAATCTTGTCGAAAAGTTGATGGATAAATCCATGAAGTGAAAAAAGCACATTTTGTGTTATTTGGACAATTTTGTTGAATGAAGGAATCCTTAGTAAAAAATAGAATAAGGGGAAGAATTATGGAAAAAATTGTAGTGTAACAAGTTGAAGTTACTTAAAACAAATAATTTTTCTACAAATATTTTCTGTAAATATCTCTTGCTGAGATGGCGATGATTGAAAATAACTACACTTGTCGGGGAAAAATGTGTCTTTCCTTTCTACAAATAAAAACTAACTGTAGTATTCTTTACCTGGTTCTCAACTTTCAACATGGAAACAACCTCTTTCTCCCTGAAATCCCTGTCTTCATCAATCAGGGCAGCTTTATCCATGACGAAAGCCATTTCTTGGATTTTTTCGGCTTGTTGTTGGATAATTTTATTATACTTTTTCTCTTGAAATTCCCTGAAGTTGATTCGGGATTTATACACCTGCTCCGCTGTGTGTTCCCTATATTTGGACATGATGTGCTCTAGAGTATTATGGTAATCTTCGAGAGCAGTCCTCAGCTCACGGTTCTCCTGCTGAATTTCCCGCAGGTGGCGGTTTTCTTTTTGGATGTTCGCGATTAATTGGGAATGTGGTTTTTGGTTAGCAACTTCATTAAGTTGCTCAACTTCTTCCTGAAACTAAACAACAAATTTATAAAACTCTCAGTAACTTTAATAATTTACTTACCTGTTTCATCGCATCAATTTTCTTGTTGATAGCATGTGTTTCATTCAACAATACATCAGCCACCACATCTCTGTCTTTCAAACGGTTGGCAAGGCGTTTTGCATCCGTAATTATTTGTTGGATTGTGAGAGACATAATTATTAGATAACTGTTATTTATTTATGTAGCCCACCTGTGTTGTTTGTAGTATTTGGACTTGAACATTAAAGCGGGACAGGTCTTCCCTGTCTTGACGTTAATACAAATTAGAGAAATGTTACACGAAAGTTTTTCATATTATATTTTTTTATCACAAGAATTTAATTTAATTAATAATTATCATTCAAAATATTTCTCCGATTCTTTTACGTTTTACTGTTTATTTGGGATTTGAACTTTCAAATTTCATTTGTCAAAAAGGTTGGTTCGTTTATTTTGCTCAGTCGATATGAGGCAAAAAATAGCATCTGCAGACAGCTTGTCCACTAAGGTTAATCTCCTGAGGAAATTAGACAAAAGTGTTTTCATTAATTTCATTAAAGTGATCATGAATTTCTACAAAATAGGCGAGTCATCAATCACACACATTCTATTTTACAATTACACATTGATGAATTTGTGGGAATTTTTTTAAAGCAGATGAAGCAGCATGTAGGAAATTTACCTTTTCTCTCCACTTTATAGTGTCTCTGTTAGGAAATATATTTTGTCGTTTTTGTGTGGGTGTTATTGACTACTGTGTTTATTATGACTAGTATTCTGAGTAAATTATGTTAATAAATCGTAAAGCAACCTAGAGAGCATCATGATTGATCGCAGTAACATAACTCATGTATGTAAATTAGCAGAATCAGGTCAGTCAGGCACGAAACACTGTGGTGGTACAGTACTGATTAGGTTTGTTCATCGATATAATAGACAGAATTGGAACTTCTGGAGTACAATGAATCTAACGAAGAAAACAATTATTGTCCCATAGTAGACCGCCCGTTCAGTTAACCAAGTTAACATTTTCAGGGTTAGCTGAAGCTATTTTATTCATCTCTGATGATAAATGTCCCACTACGTTAAATTTCTCCTACATCGATTTCTCTCTACGTTGAATTCTCACTACGTCTCGTCCACTGACGTCATTAAAATACGAACTTTTTTCAAACTCAGATTTATTCCATATATGAATGTTTCGTTGTGATGAGAATAAAACGTAGTGGAATTTGACGTTAGGAGAATTAGGTACAGTACGATTTTCTAGAATCAAAAAGTTTCACCTAAATCGTTATTCAGAACTTTCTTAGAACCGGTGGAAAAACACTTCACAACTGTTACCTAAACCAGATTCCAATTTATTTACCATGAACATTTCATGTATTTTTCCATGCATTATTACTTTGTATGATCAGTTACAACTTTTGTGTTTTGTAGAAATGATAAATAATGAACATATTTTTATCATTATCATAATTATTTCACAAACACCGTTACTTCCTTACTTTCTGGGTCAACTGATGAAATGAAAATGATATCTACATTGGATTCGGCGTTACTTCTGCATATTGTTTTATATAAATTTAAAATTTCCAGGACATCGGTTGCGGATGCACCTGTAACCAGTGCAATGCAACAAAAATCCAGGCATCGGTTTTCTCCTAAACGATGAATGTCTCTGAACCGGATATAATAATGTCAGGACAGACAATTCCACTTTCTGGTTCGATAAGTTTGTCGGTGGTTAAAATGGACATCAATATGTCTTGGCACAATCATGTCACTGGAATTACAAATGCTGCTTCTTACAAGCTTGAAAAACTGTCCCTAATCAAAAAACTGTTTACCCCTAAATAACTTTTGATGCTTTATGAAGTTCAGATCAGATACGAACATCACTTGCAACCTTGATAGTCTGAAACATCGAAGAAAGATTGGAGTTTTGTCTCTCTTTCATAGATATTTTTACGGGAGGTGTTTAAGTGACTTGGCACATTTGATTCTATCAAGAGCGGTACATATCATAAATACGCGACGGACTGTGGCTGCTCATCTTTTTGAGGTTCAGCTCAGTACACCTCGGACTACAGTGTTCAATAACTCTTTCATTTGGAGAACTGCGTTCAAGTGAAATGAACTTCCTGAGAAGGTTTTTCCGAATGAATGTAATCTCGAGCGATTCAAATCCAACGTGAATCGCTAATTCCGCATAGGCACTACTCTTAGATCACCTTAAGGTTTTTCCTGTAGTGAAAGAAATCAAGGGAGACAGATCACCATGGTGGGAAAATGAATGTCAACAAATGAAATCATAGCTCACTTCAAAATAAACACAAGTTCAGAAAATTATATTGAAGCCAAGAGAATGGAAGCAAAAACAAGGAGTTTTTCAGACAAAAAATTAAATTGGAAAAAATTGAACCGAAACCGGAATTTCAGCTCTTCTAGACATGAAGAAATTTAATCTACAAATATATCGAAGAGCTAATTGGCATACACTAATATAAAGATGTAGAGGAATGGAGAAGGTTTAAAATTCTCTAGAATCTTAGATATTAAAAAAAAATCCATAAAACCTCAACTAATTATAATTTATTAACCTCAATTCCAGTGAGCACACACAAAAACAAAAAAAGATAATGAGACAGCAAGTAAAAAAATAAGCGAATGAAGAAGAATAAGCAAAATAGGTTACAGCTATTGCGCAAAGCAAGACGATCTAACGAAGGACGAAGCTGCTGTTTGTTACACAATACAGCGGAGATACGGTGTAACAGGAGGAGAAACTAGAGAGAAAGATAGAGAGAAAAGTTACTGCGTAATTGAATAATCTGAAGAGTCAATTAGTCAATAACTTGTTGTATTAGAAAATATTGCATAGAAAAGAACCTCATGATTAAACAAAATATAATTTTTAATACTGTGTTTTTTCAATACGGTTGACATTTTAAAAAAACATCCTTTATCATTTTCGAAATTTTCAGAATTTTGAAAATGTGTCTATTGCCTTTGATAAATGTAGAAATGAAATGTCAAGCTGTCATATTTAACTGTCTAAAGGAATACATACGATAGTTGTTCGAGATCTCACTTCAGGTTGATATTTCCATCATTAACCTCTCATTCCAGCAATGGTAACCAGGTGCAATCCATTTCCATAGAGTATGTGGAAATACAACGGAGTCATTTAGCTTTCTTGATTTTCCGTGAGGTTCTTTGGCGATTATTTTCGTTTCATTGTGTGATTGATTTTAAAATATGCTTTGTTATACCCGATTCCGTTATTCGTCTTCCATTTAAATATTAACTCATCCTCTAGAAATAGTGTCGCAAAATATGGCCTGATAGATATTTCAAAAAAAAAAACTCTTTGATCACATAGAACGAACGAATTAAGTAATGTAATTATGGACATATTTTCTTCGTATTTATTGGAAAATTGGCTGACTGGACGTACATACGTTTAAAATCAGCTCATATAAATTATTGTGATATGTCTATATGGTTGATTAATTATGATTTGATTTTTTGTTTTCGTACTGAGATTTAGAATAATATATTTTTTATTTGGAACTCATTGAAAAATTGAATTACTCTTATCAATTCATTGAAATGTTCATCTGGTGGGTATATAATGATACTACTTTTTTGTATATTTATAGTGAACTCCCAGGATACACGAATCGATTCAAATTCGCTTTTATGCTGCATCCAGCGTCTTGATTTCCTCATTTTTCATCTTGGACGCAGCCACCATTTTTAATAGCCACATGTCAATGTCAATGTCATATTTCATTTCCTTTTGTGTCATGTTTGTCATTTAAAAATGGCTAGTGCTAGGAATCTTTTAGGTATTTTCAATATAAAACAAGTAATAATATTAGCAACTCCTCCGGTAAACAAAGTTTCATCAAGATTTCTTTGCCAATTCACTCACCACAGTAAATCAGTACTCCTTCGTTGTAAAATTTCTAATAGTGCACATCAAAGTAAGTTTGTTATTGTGGAATTACATCATTTTGAACTGTTAAGCTATCCTCATAATTTTATCTCATGTCTAACCCTACTTTTTTAGGTGTCCTAGTACCAAAGCGTAATTTTCATTTGAGCTCGCTACTCACTTCCAAAAAAAGCTACTATGATATCTTAGGGGTAGGGCGAAATGCGTCTATTTCCGAAATAAAGAAAGCTTACTATAAACTTGCTAAAAAATATCATCCTGATGTGAATAAAAACGATCCTGATTCCTCCAAGAAGTTCCAGGAAGTTTCTGAAGCATACGAGGTGAGGACACTATCATTAATACCTTTGCATCAAACTTATGATTTTTTCATTTAGATTTTGGGTGATGACACCAAACGTAAGCAATATGATACTTGGGGTGCAACTGCTGAACAAATGGGAGGTATGGGAGGTATGGGAGGAGCTGGCACTGGACGAGCATCTGGACCACAAGGTTTTAGCCAGCAGTGGCAGTACCAATCCACCATAGATCCTGAAGAGTTGTTTAGGAAAATATTCGGTGAAGCTGGCTTCGGGAAAGGCTCATCACCTTTCGATGATTATGCTGAATCCAATTATGGTTTTGGAGAGGCACAAGAGGTGAGAAGAAAATGACATGAGAAAGTTTTCAGTTTTGTGAGAAAATTAGTCATGTTTGAAACACATAATCCAAACTTGTACAACAACATACATTATTTTTAAAGACAAGTTGACAATTTAAGAAAAATATTTTAACAAAACTATCTAATTGATGGGCATTTGCGATAGTTTGTAGAATTACATACACAAACGTTCATGTTTAGAATATGAAAACATCAATCTTATGTTAACAACTTGCTTTTGTGGGATTTACAATTTCCAAATGAAAAAAATTAAATTTTCTCCATGAATAAGGTTAGGTTAGGTCCAGGGCCGTAGCGAAAAGAAATACCAGGGGGGGGAGGGAATCCAAATTTTCCCAACCATGCCTCTTCAGGGTAGTNCAAATAAACCCAGCTTCTTAATAAAGTCGATTAGTTTGTATGGTGAGTGGTCTTTCAGGTCAGATGGTAAGAGTACGGCTCTGCCGAACTCTAAAATCCTGATTCGGTCCCCAGCGGGGCAGGCACAAGGTATGTGCTCTGCTGTTCTTCACGAATAAACTGAATACAGACTCTTTAAAAAGGTCATTTTTGAACTTCATCCAGCTCTATACATATAAAAATGCATTAAATTTGTTTTCATTCTCAGAATTTTTTTTGAAAATTACAGTGTAATTCACCTTTTATCTTGCATTGAAAAAGATGTGCATTATTCCTGTAATACATTTTTCACTCACTTATTCAGGGTCCCTCAAAATGAATATGGATTTAAAATAATTTAATTTTGACTTGCTTGCACATTTTGTTTTGTGAACATTAGAACAATGAAGTATTTTGATTTTTATTTTGAGTTTTGGAAAAATAATGTTTTCTGCCTGTTGTTGCAAAAATTCTGTATAATATATTACTTTTCAGATTTTACTCAGGGTAACATTTAGCCAAGCAGCTAGAGGTACTAACAAAGAAGTCAACGTAAACGTTGTGGATACTTGCCCAAAATGTAAAGGCACCAGATGTGAGCTTGGAACCCAACCAAAAAAGTGCCATTACTGTAATGGGACTGGCATGGAAAGTATAACAACTGGACCGTTCGTGATGCGTTCTACTTGTCGGTACTGTCAAGGCACCAGAATGTATATCCAAAACAAATGCGTAGAGTGTCAAGGGAAAGGATCAACAGTACAACGGAAGAAAGTCACTATACCGGTTCCTGCAGGTGAGATAGTATTGCATACAAGAAAAAGCGGTACAGAATATTTGTTTTTTAATTGACATTAAAACTGTCATTCATCTATAACCGATAGTTTGAATTGTCAGTTGTAATCCATTGTCTATAATTTAACGTTACCTGTGATCGACAGTTCAATATGTTGACTATAGCCAATTGATAATTGACAGTTATAATTGATACATTACTGTTTTTAGGCATGATGAGTACTAAACAAGGAGTATTCCTTGAAATCAAATTTACAATCTGTTAAATCATCTGTAATTAGTATTATTGTTAATTTTACATTAAATCTCACAATATTATTATAAACAGACATGTTTATGATTGAAAAGTAAAATTAACATAATACTTATTCAATTTTGTTTGTTTTTGTTAATCACTGATTTCGAGTTATTCAACTCATTTAATTGTAAGTATTTCAAAAATTTTCTACATTTCTGGTCTAATGCAGTATTGTAGTTATAATTGAACTAATACTTCTCTGCCAAAAAGTAGCAAATATTGAGTTGACCTTTAAATTGAAAATACTATGTATGTGGTCATTGATCCTTTTGGAAAAAGTCTCCTGTTAAACCAATATGAAAAATGGAACAAGAATAAGATAGGTAGGTGTTCTATTTTTCTGAAATTTTCACAAAACTGTACCATGTGAAGAAGACTATACTAGTCTTCTTCAAGTATTCTTCTCGATACAGATACTTATCTGAGGAAATTACTTTTTCCACACCAAAACAAAAACCACTCTTTCTAGACATGCATTTTGATAACGACTAATAATTCTATCTACCCACTGGTACTCATGCCTGTACAGTGAAACACATGTCACAGTTTTGTAACTTGTGAAGTTAAAATCTCACATTATCAAGTGTTACTTGGATACGTTATCATGGATTTTCATTAATTAACGTCCATTGTTGAAGCCAATATTCATCAGTTTGACTGCTACCAACAATTCAGCATGGTATAGATAGATTACACAGGAGTAGTTTAATCTTAAATAAAATAGAACAAATGACTCTTCTCTCTCAAAAAATAGATTTTCATGGTAACCAGTAAATGATCCATTTCTCTCATTTCCTCAAAACATCTTGCCGAGTAATATATCAGCGCCAATCTCAGAAAAGGAGTTCCGTTTAGATTATAAAAATGAAACTCTGATTTTTATAGCGAATGAATACCTTCTATCAAAAAGTTGTATTTCTTGAGATGAATATTAACAAAAATGAACATTTTGTAATTCAGGTTACTTATGTAATCAAGATTTTTAAACCTGAGAGAAATGCTTAGGACCCGCGTTGATATATAAGTGATTTTAATTTAATGTTTTGGAGTATAATGGTAACGAAATGGTTTAGGTATCTGAAACAAAATGTGCCTTAACAAATGTGGTAATAAATGTGGTAAGCACATTGTGGATATTTTTGAAAAAAAACATGTTAATGTTGACATCTTATACCAACAGTGTGTCTTTATTTTTATCCACTTTTTTAATTATACTGTGTATATTGAGAAAAATGTTTTTGGGTTTACTTCTCCATTTTTATTCAAATAATTGTGGGAAACTTTCAAAGTGAAGAAGAAAAAACAATTAAGTTTAAAATGAGCTCTGCAAAGATGTGTAGATCATGCATAAAAGTTACTTTCAAGAAATTATGGAAAACTTTGAATTTGAATTTCAGCTGGGAAAAATGAATTAATTAACTGGACAAAACTTGGCCTAACGAAGGATATACTGTTGGAAAAATATGGCAAGACAAAAGCATTATAAGTTCAAGTCAAGCGTGTTTAGAAGGATGGTCTACCGGATTAAAGTCGTCTTGTGGAGAAGAAAAGTGACTGATTATTACCCACATTGGAAGTATTCATGGTTTTGAGTGGTTTATTGCTCTTTGAGTCAAACCATTCTGGCGATTACTATAAAGACATGAACAACAATGTGTTTGAAGAATATTCTGAGCAAATTTTTGATCTCCATACACCTCACTCTGTGATTGTGATGGAAAATGCAAGTTATCATTCCAGAAAAATTGAGAAAATACCAATTAATGCATGGAGAAAAGAAAGTATTGAGTGGCTCCGACACAAAAACAAACCATGGTTAAAGAAGAACGATTGTCCATAGTATGTTCAAATAAAACTCATTTCATGGAATATGTTCAAATCTGTTCAGAATCCGTTTTTCCATTAACCAGCTGTCGCTTCCTACAAACGACAACTCTCAAAAGTCGAAACATGTACGAGCTAAGGACTAACAAGGTTTTACCTTCTAATGAGTTATTCCTAACATGGGTTGGACGATAGGAAGTGAAAATCGATCATCATTCCTCGTGCCTTGAACCACCAATTCACACAGCGGTTGATCGAGTGAGTGGAGCACTCCACCCATGTCAATGGGACCAGCTACCTTTCTATGTAGTCAACAAGATGAAACAGAAACGAAATATCATCATTCTGCCTCTGCCTTTAAATCATTTTTCCCAACTTAATCCTATTGAGCTCGTTTGAGCCCAAGTAAAGGGTTTCCCTGCAAGAAGAAACATGACATTCAAATTAAAAGATGTTGAAATACTATTTAACACATTCACTGCAAATGACACCAGTTGGCGGTATCAGGCCATTCCACTTTGTGCGGATGATGCCTTGTGGTGCACATGTATCTCTCGCATTAAATGTGTTGATATTCAGTCCGCACTAGGCAGAGGTGGTTGTACTGCAGTCCGCACATTTAAATAACATTGTTCAAAAAGATTTTGTGAAGTGAACAATAAAAGTAAACAATAATTAGGCAGGTCCCTCAGGTGTAAAAAGACAAAGTGACAATAAGAGATCCACATAAAGTAACCGTTGATGAAATGTTACAGTTAGTGAATGTTCAGATGACGAAGACAACATTTTGAGCTGTTCTTATGTTAACCTGGTTCAGAAAGTGAAGGGAAAAATTCCGTTTTTTTTCTGTTTACTGTTTAAGATATTTTCTGTTTGTCATAGATAATATGGCAGAAGAAAACTTTGACCAAGAAAGCAGGTAAATTCAATAATGACAAAGATATTTGTTTCAATATGCAACATTTTCCATTTACTGAAACCAATCGAATGCTTGTTGATTTTCCGACAGAGGCCAAACCCTATGATTATTTTAGACTTTTTATTGATAATGGGTTTCTTGAAAATATCATAACAGAAAACTAAACAGAAGCCTTCACCAATTGTGGAATACAATAAATATATGGGAGGAATAGATAGCCAGGACCAGATGATGTCCTACTACCCTCCTTTGAAAGAACAATATTCTGGTATAAAAAACTTGGTGTTCATATCTCCTGCAGCTTTTTTTTTAATTCTTACGGAATATTTTGCAAGTACTCTGGCCGAAAAATGACATTCTATGATTACCACTTACTTGTGATTGAAAATTTATTGTCTGATATACCACGTAGAATAGAATATTACATATAAAAAAACACGTTCCTAGTAAAATTGAAGCAGTTGATGCCACAAACAGAACACCAAAAAGATATGTGGTTTTTGTTTCCAGAAAAATATTAGGAAAGCACTGTGAGGAAATGAAATACTTGTCCAGATAATTCCGGTTTGTGTGCTGAGCCATGTTTCAGTCTTTTTCACAAAAAAAAATCGAAAAAAGAGTTTCATTACGTTTAAAAAAAAATGTGTTATGTAGTCCTCAAAAAATTTCGATTCGAAAAAATGACAAAACTGTATTGAACATATTGTATAAGAAGAGGACAACTTGTGAAAATCAACTGAGGAAATTGTAGAATAGAACTTTCAATCATAACATTCAATGAATATCAATCTGATTAATTCTGATACTAAATAACATAAACGCATGCAATCGCTGCTAATCATAAAATGCAAAAGGTCGAAGCGCGGCCTTCGATCCGCTATTTATAGGCACGCGTCGCCGCCTACCCCGGCCGGTACCGCCGCAACTGCTATGTCCCTGCATTTTGAATCTGTAAAATCTTTGAAAATATCATTTAAATTACATGCTGTAAAGGGCCATATTGATATATAATGCACAATGTATTTAAGATACTTAATTGGATAAGGTTCATTGCTGTATTGCTTAAATTTTTTTTGTAAATGAGCCATTATTTCTCGAGGGTTATCCCTAAGAGATAGGCATATACCACCGCGGACTTTTTTGTATACCTTTTAAGGTGTACAGTACTGTGGTACATTTTTTTATCTATCTCGTTGGGTTCAGCTAGTGTTTGCAATGTAAGCGCAAAAGGGTGTTTACTTACATCACATTAAAAACCTCTTAAATCATCAGTGCTTCTCTAGTATATTATGCATGTTATATACATATAAACCTTCCTCCTGAATCGCTCTATCTATTAAAAAAAACCCTATCAAAATCCGTTGCATAGTTTTGAAGATATCGGCATACATTGGAACAGACAGCGGGATGCGACATTATTTTATACTACGTAGTGATAACACACCTTAATTTTTGCTTATTCCCGATATTTTCTTGAACAAACAATACCATGTATAATTATGTAAATATTTTCAATTAAAGTGTTACAATTTTAATTGTATATAAATAAATAAACATAATTATTAGTATTAACTACAATTTTTTATTAAATACCCAAAAGCACGTCACTGCAGTTGATAAAACGACCCGAAGGCTCATAAAATCTTTTGTTTGCAACCTGTTTGCAATACAAAGTAAGGTTGGACCCGGTATGGTGTTATAAAAGAGCCTTTACCAACTGTGGCAAATCATAACAAAATCACAAAATTTTGTTTGAGCAGTCTGTTAACGTTATGCATTTAAATTGAGCATTTATTACTTTTTACTATTACAATGCATAGAATAGTGATATTTTTAAAATTTTTAAAAGTTCCGTTTTGAAAAGTATATAAATGAGAATTTCACAAGATGTCTCACTTTGAAAAACAATTTTGTATAGGAAGATTTTCATTTTCGTGTATGTTATTTTTTCAGGTATTGAGGATGGTCAAACCGTTAGGATGTCAGTAGGAAATAAGGAACTTTTCGTAACATTTAGGGTAGACAAATCTGATTACTTCAAAAGGGATGGGGCCGATGTTCATACGGAGGCAGACATCTCAGTAGCACAAGCACTTCTAGGAGGTACTATTAGGATACAAGGGCTCTACGAGGATCATACCCTTCAAGTAACTATATTTTTTGTGTATTTCATTGTGAATTTCAAAATAACTCTGCCCTATTCTTCTGTGAATATTATAAGAAATGATAATTTTAGGTTATGCCAGGTACGTCTTCGCACACGAGGATACGTTTAAGTGGTAAAGGAATGAAAAAGGTCAGCGGTTATGGTCACGGCGACCATTATGTAATGTTCAAAATAGTAGTTCCCAAGCACTTGGATGATAAACAGAAGGCGTTAGCAATGGCATATGCTGAATTAGAAAAAGACACTCCAGGTCAAATTATGGGTGTTGTGTCGAGAAATGATGGTGAGTAGTGGATTTTCAAATTTTTTTTCCTTTGAGAATTTTTGTTCAATAAAACTTCCGGATAGAACAACTAAAAATTAACACAGGCCAAATATGAATGTACTCAGCTCCTTATTCACAAAGCGTCTTATTTTTGAATCTTCAAAGGAAAAAAAAAAAAAGAAAACTAGGTGGTATCTAATACCGAACCCTGATGCATACCAATTCCTCACCCACTACCAGTTACATCTACTGATGAGGCAGATTTTGAAAGCTTCATCTCCATTTCATATTCTGGGTAGAATCCAAAATAACAAAAATATTTTTGGAAAACTTAAGAAATGAGAATGTCAATTACTATTTATTGTCATTGAACAAAACAAGCAAATGGACTATGAATTTGGATGTTTTAATTTTAGTTTTACAAGAACAAAACACAAGCACTACAGGAAAATCCTTAAGGCGCTCTAAGAGCGGTGCCTATGCGAAAGTAGTGGTTCACTTTGGATTTGAATAGCTAGAAATTAAATCCATTTGGAAAAACATTCTCAGGAAGTTTATTCCACATAATGGTTGTATCGATCTAGGTTTTCAGGATTGATTTAGGTTCAGTATAATTTATCACATTACTTTGCTAGTGCCGAAAAGAGGATATTAATATATTAATTCCTCTAAACTACTTCTTTGAAATAAGTGATTGAAAAGTCTTATTTTTGAAAGTACTTTTCTGAATCGTAATTTTGGCAACACTGGTGATGAAAGATTGGATATAATTTCTCATATTGATTAATATACTAGTTCTTTTGAACATATTATATTACATTGAAGAGTAACATTTCTTTCATAATTTTTGTGAATGTTTTGTTTAGGGTTCATTTACCTGTCAGACATACTTGCCATATTCTGATTATTTTTGTTTTCTGAAACTGAGATAATTTTTCTTTGGCAGGGAAATCTGAGGGAGGCATGCCCTTCGCTGGCTCTGAGGAAAGAACCCAAGCGAAACATTCCCAAGAAGATTCCGGTTTTTTGAGTAAAATAAAAAAGGCCATTTTTGGTTAGGTGACAGTCAGTGACGTAAATGAATATAGGTTGAATACATTGTTGATTTTTAATTTATTTATTAACAAGTTATTGAACAGCTAAACAATAAAAAAATAGAAAGTAGTGGAATTAATTTTTATTAATGTGTGGTGTATACCTTCATGGCTGAGAGAATACTACTCAAATGGAGTAAGAAATCAATTTTGTACATCATTGTCTGTTGAGATGTCATCGCTGCTACACTTATTCAGGCTTGTCCTTTAAGGACATTTGAGTCCAGTAACACATTTGTGGTTCAGCCCAGCACCGAGACGTATTCTGAGTAAAAACAGTGCTGTCTGTTTATGAATCATGAATGTATTGTGTTTGGGCTTTAGTTTACAACTGCAGTGAAAGATAGAAGACGAATGTCGTCGATGTCGAAGCTTGACTTTGCAACTGACCCTCTTGGAGAGCCTCGTTTATCTTTGATATTCGAGGATTGAGTTCTCTGTCGATCAAATAGATGGAGTCTCCGTAAGGTGATATGTCATCGCCGCTACTTATTTAGGCTTGTATGCTGCAAGGACAGTTAAGTCCAGCGATGCATTTGTGGTTAGTCCTAGTACCACTGATGAGACCTATGGCGGGTCGAAACAGAGCTGTCTGGTGTTGAATCATAAATATGCTGTGTTTGGGCTCTAGTCATCGGGAGATGTCATCTTTCAAGACAGTTGAGTCCAGCAAGACAGTTGAGTTCAGATATGCATTTGTGGTTCAGCCAAGCCCCATTGAGAAGACCTATGGTGGGTCGAAACAGCGGTGTGTGGTGTTGAAAAATAAAGGTGTTGTGTTTGGGCTCTAGTTTACAAAACCAGTTACTTGAAAATGGTCTAATAAACCGAAACCGGTTGTAACAAATAATAAACTTAGTAGAAATTGGACAAAAGTTATTTTCTTTATAATATACATGCTGTTGCGCGCGGCTTTGCCCGCGTAAAATTTGGTTTGTCACATTAAGTTTCGTGACAGACCATTTAAACAAATAGTTACAAGGTTTTTTATTAACCCAAAACTTCAGGTTATCAACTTCCAAACTGACGAAATTCAATGCAATCTTTGAACCTCTATTTTTCCCTCTTGGGGTGGAAATTCCTGATTCCCTTTCTTGATGTTTATTTACGCTATACAAAGAACCTACCTACATATTTCATATTTTAAGCATAAAAGACAAAGTTTATCTATTTAAATACTTAAAACTTGATCAGTGAAGTATCAACAGCATTGCATTTTCAATACCAATTAGGAAATCATACAATCAAAGCAGTGAATGAAGTATGTAATAATGGATTCCAAAATTATTTTTAAATCTCACATAGGGAACACCGTTGATATGTGTAATCATCTATTGGGATTCATTATCAGAAATACTAGACATATATCCGCAATATACGATTTACCAACAGAGAATTGAAAGTGGTCAAAATAAATTCGTCAAACAATTAGCCCGTGAAACTGACAAAAGTATTCCCTGTTATCTCTTACAGATAGGAGAAAAATGTCAGATATATTATTGTTGGAACGGAGGTGAAATATCTTGGCATTGTCCTTGATAAAAAACTCACCTGGAACCCTCACTTGAAAAGTTTTACACAAAGCCAGGCTGTCCCTATGGACATGTCGAAGGATTCGTTTTAGAACTTGTGGTTTAGGTCCCAAACAAATACATTGGATTTATGTGATGATTGTTAGACCAATGATCACTTATGGTGCAATTGCCTGGTGGCCGAAGGCTTTACAGAAAACGGCCTAGGCGAAGCTCTGGCTTACAGAGACAGGGTTGTCTGGCCATCAGTACCACACCGTCAGCGGCCATGGAGATCCTTCTAGATCTACCTCCTCTCCACAGAGAGAGGCAAGATGGACTACATACAGACTTGTGCACATTGCCAATTGCACAAATCAATTCAAAGCAGAGTGCAGCAGACTGTTGGTTGACAATGGAAGTCAAAGCATTCTGGAAATGACCTCTGACTTCATGCCTCCAACTGTCAACTACGAACTGCCTTATAAAGTACTGTTCCCGAGTAGAAAGAACTGGATCCTTCAGGGAGAAGGAAATATTAAGAGCAGATAGTTGTTGGTTCACAGATGGATCAAAAACACCTTCCGGTTCTGGTGCAGATGTTTTCAGTCGCAGACCCAGGACAGAGATGTCAACCTGCCTAGGAGCCTAAACGATTGTATTTCAATCGGAAATTCACGCTATTGAATTGTGTGAGAGATTGGAAGAATCCAACCTCATACACAAGTCAATAAAATAATCTCGGACAGTCAAGCGGCGTTGGAAGCTCTTGGCTCCTACTGAGCAACATCTAAATTGATAGCAAATTGCCAAAAACGACTCTCGTCGATAGGAAGACTTAACAGATTGTCTCTGGTCTTGATTCTTGGCCATACTGGCCTGGAAGGCAATGAGGCTGCTGACTCCTTTGCAAAGGAGCTTCATCGGACCAGAACCTGTCATCGACATCGCTTTAGGCTTCGCCAAACAAAGATTGAATTCCTGGATGGCAAGAAGATTTACAGACTTCTGGCAGAATCTTCCAGGATTGGCTCACTCTAAGGCATTTATTCACCCTTCGAAGCTTGATACCAAACAGTTGTTGGACAGTAGGAATGAACTATGATGTCTAACAGGCCTTATTACAGGTCAGTGTCATTTGAATCATCATATGCAGATACTCTAACTGTCGGAAGACAGTGTGTGTCGGCTCTGTTTGGAAAATGATGAAACAGTAGAGCACATACTTTGTTCTTGCCCTGCTGGGTACCCAATCAGGTTTTTAGAGTTCGGCAGAGCCGTACTCTTACCATTTGACCTGAAAGACCACTCATAATACAAACTAATAGGCTTCGTTAAGAAGCTGGGTTTATTTGGTCGAGTGTGAATAGGTGTGAGCCACAATAAACCCTTGCGGGTTGTGGTGGAGGGTCGAATAGACCCACTCACTTCGGACCTAACTCAACCTAATCCCAATATACCAATAGAGAATTGAAGGTGTTCAAAATAAATTCGTCAAACAATTAGCCCATGAAACTGACAAAAAGTGTTCCCTGTTATCTCTTACAGATAGGAGAAAAATGTCAGATATATTAATGTTGTACAAAATATTCAATAACCGTGTCGATTGTCCAAAGTTGATAACAAAAATTTTATTGAATACATCTTGCAGAGACTTGCAAAACCATGATATCTTTGCAACACCATTTAGAAAAACCAATTCAGGTAAAAACTCTCCTTTATGCAGCATTTTCAGATCTTTCAATACATATTGCAATGATATTGGAAAACTGAGGTTACCTTTCCTTAGATTTAAAAACTATGTGAAATATATTTTCAATTATAATTAGTTATCGGTTCTACATATATTTATTTAATTTTTTCTCATATTCGTTACAAGTGTAATGTACTTAGTGTTTATATATTGTATACTCACTACAATAAATAAATACAAACTAAAAATACCCATGCATTTTTTTAATGAATTCCAAATAAAATGCTTTAAAATTTGTGAATTGGCTTCCGTTTTCAATATTTTCTTGTTAGAAATCTGCTCTCAAAAAAACCGTGACAAATCGGCAGGCGATCAGAGCTACACCGCGTAAACGATAAAAAAAATCCGGTCATTAAATTAAAAGTCAATTTTACAATAAGTTTATTGAGTTATTCGAAACGTAGAATCAAATCGGCTCTCAAAAATGTTGTGTTTGAAAATGAAAATGTATAATTTTGTTTCATAAAATAATTTGAATAAAAACGTTTTTCTAAAAGTAATCAGGTATTCTTCTTTTGTTTGAAAATTAATAAACAATAAAAATAAATAAAATTTATTAAACAATAAATTGATTTTTTTCTATATTTTACATTAGCTACTAATCATTATCACTCGATTCATCATAATCTATATTATCTTCACCATAATCTTCATCATCTTCACATTCCATGGGTACGCGCTCACGCCCGTTCCTATTTATCAATTGTTTATTTTTAAAACGACATGGATTTTTTGAGTGCCAATTTAATTTTACGTTTCAATTGACAACTCAAACTAGCTGTAAGAGTTTGATCTTCCTCTTGAAGATGATCACTGGTGATCAAACACGCGTCGAAGTGTTAAAATAACGGTTTGGTGTTGGGAAAAAACTCCAGTGATATTCAGCTGTAAGATTAATTCTCATTTTACTGGTCGTTTCTTTAAATGCATGTTCCTTGTGGGCGCCAGCCGATTTGACACGAGACTTTTAACGCCCTCTGGGCATTGAGCTTCAAACCATTTTTGCATTTATTAAACAAAACTGCAGTCATTTCAGATATGGGTTTATAATTTTGAAAACTTTATAACTTTGGCCCACCCATGCATCATGAGCAAAGCTTTTAAATTACTTGAACTACTTTTTTTTATAAAAAATTCCCATTTTAGTAATAAATAGTTTTTTTGCTAGCTCTTACTCTTAGAATATTATCAAACTACTTGAGATTCATTGTTTCTGCACATATATGCACATTTTCTATCCGTTCCACATGGTCTCCATAATGTTTCACCAGTGTAATCTTTAAGACCATAAAATGTATCAATGAAATGCCTATTACGGAAGGTTTTTTGATAGTGATAGTTTATTCTATTGATGTATTTGATTGTATACAATTCCTCTTTGATACTTCAATCCTAACCATTAGAACTGATGTATGATGAGGAACCCTTTTTTTAAGAAATGAATTTTCAGATTCGTTGTTCTTATAAATAGGGTTTATTCTTATAAAAAGGGTTTTTCCTTAAATGAATCGTCCCTGAAAATAAATTCTTACATAAAGGCATTTAACTATATACTTTTACTTCAAGAGTTTAAATATTTAGGGTTTATGCTTGACAACCACTTAACGTTGAATGGTCATTTCAATTATATTCAGAAAAAAATACTCAAAAAACTATATTTTTTTTCGAGGGTATCTCAGCATTTGAGTTATCTCCCTCCATATATCGAATACAGCGACCATCAAAGAATTATATAATATTCATTTTTTTATAGGCAGCAAAATGTTCACGACATCTGAAAAGTTGGAACTGCTGGAGTCAATTCGTTCAATTTTAGAAGGTAAGGACAAAAATGATTCTCACAATGATACTGATTTGACCAAAAATAGGAGGAAAAAGGTAGAGAAAATCGCAGAATCACAGAAATCTCGAAATAACAAGCAAAATGCTGCCGAGTCGAGCTCGGAGAGTGATGTGGAAGAAACCAAAGTCAAAAACAAAAACTGAATAACTTTTTGCGGAGAGAGACACAGATGCACTTCCATTCAAGGCTAGTTTTTTATATTGTTTATAAATATATACATATGCAAGTTGATTGTTACCATAGTGTATATTATTAAAGCTGTAGAGTAAGAGTTTTTCTCTCAATATTTTTACGTAAATTGATGGAAATTTCAGCTCATCAAAGTAGCTTCAATGCTTATGATTTGATTAGTTCAAAGTGTAATTTTTGTTAAATAAAAAATATATTGAATAGTTTTGGTTATATATTTTGAAATACTTGTTTCATATATTTTTTTAAATAAGTATAGTGTATCCAGTAAAGTCCACATGACATGTTTTTTTATCAATAGATTTTTTATGAAAACACATTTCTGCAGGAGTCCGGATCAAAAATAGTAAAATGTGGGCTGGTTTGCTGTGGTCAAAAAGATCTAATAGTAGCAAACGTTTTATCTGATAGCTGATATCTTCAGACGTGTAAGCATTGTCAATGAGGACAATGGTAGTATCTCGCAGTTTTAACAACGAGTGATAGGAGAACTACTTGGTGAATGTATACCTAATAGTAGGGGGTGGTGTGGGTGAGATGTTCACCAGAATGCTCACTTTTGATTGGTCATCACAAAGAAACTAAGTTCCTGCTGTCAAAGTTTAGTCAAAAAAACAAGATTTTCATCAGATACGCCAACTCTTATGTGATTATTTTGCCAGTCAGTATTCCTGAGTGAAGAGAAGAAGAAATTGATATAAATAAAATCTCTATATTGGAGATCAGAATTGAATTAAATAATGAACAAATCATTCGAATCTGGTATATGTCCTGATATCTGTAAAATTGCCTGTGTTTCTCCTGTATTATCTCCTATATTTTACTTGGGGGATTATTTATAGATGGTTTGAAAATTGTTTATTTAATAGAAAACAGTTTGTTTATTGAAAAACCTTTACTTACGGAGCTACACAAGGATCAATTTCAGGCCCAGTTTTTTTATTCAAATAAAATGTGTTTCAATATTATTTCTGAAATGAAATATTAAGTTATTCGTAGATGACACAACATTACTTTATTTTTCTATACTAAATAAATTTACAGTAACATGATTGATGACATTACGTTGTCATTTAACTGAGGAGAACCTAATTAAGGATTATTATTATCAAAGTACAAATTTTTGTGCTGTACATTGATAAAAGTCATTTTTGGAATACTTATTCTTTTAAAAGCAGAACACTCTCCAAATTAATAGAAAACATTGACATTGTTTTGTGAATAGAGTTTTTGTAACAGCATAATGAAAGACTGACTCCAAATACTTCAAAAGCACTCAAATACCACTATACTCTATTTTCCAAAGTAGTTATATGCATGTATATGCAGATTCCTGAAGTATTTTATAACAAGTGCCTCATTCATTTTGAAGTAATCAAGTATCAAGAAGGTTCTATTATTACTTGTATTAGTAACATTTAAGAACTTTTTACGCATGTTTGGATTTTTATTTTATCTAAAACTAAGCACTTCATTGTGGGTAATCAAGTCCTCATTCTGATTATGTATACAGAGTATGACAGAACTTTAGTACAGAACAGTACTTAAAGTACCCAAAGTAGGTACTGAGTACTTCATTACAGAAGGCACTGATTTCTAGTAGCAGTATTCCACATAAGGGAATTCATGAGGTAATCCAACTACCTACCTCTTTTATGAAAGAGTCTGAAAGTACAGTACTTAAATTTACTTCACTACTTTACTAAAGAAGGCACTGATTTCCAGTGCTAGTATTCCACACAAGGGAAAGCATGAAGTACATCAAGTGAGTAATTCTTTTGTGAAAGAATTCAAAGCAGCCTACTTTAAGTACTCAATGTAATGAGTAGTTTACCTCAAATACTTTTGGTACCGAAAATGAATCTATATTCATGTTTTTGGGAGCGTTTATGTGGAATAAACTTCCTGATAACGTTGTTCCACATGAATTTAATTTATAGTGAGATTCAATGCCAACGTGAATTGCTACTTTTGCATAGGCACCGCTCTCAGAGCGCCTTAAGGATTTTCCTTCAGTGCTTGTGTTTTTCCTTAAAAAAAATCAAGGGCATCACACAGGTTGTGAAGAAATGAAAATTTACAAATGAAAATATTATTTATAATGAATAACAATACATAATAAATTAATACTCTTCACAAGGTGACAGTAACTGTGGAAGCAAGTTTATAAACTTCGTTTCTGTGCTTCATATACTAGGTGAGGTTTGACAAAGAAATAGAACATATGTAGCCTCGGATAGGCGCCATTCCAGAACCTGATTTATATTATCATATTGCTTTGCAATCCTTTAAATATGACCCTAAATTCATCTAGTAAGCTTCTGTAATCGATAATAACAGCCAAAAATGAGATTATTGACTCAGTGATATGTCGGGGCCATTTTGTACTGTGCATGGGCCGAAATTTCTTGTTCAACTCCAGTTATAGGAACTTCAAGTGTTTGTCAAAAGTCCCAATCTCAGTCCGATGTCGACTATTCCTCGACTGGCAGACGCTTGTAGTAAAGATACGACTACTGCTGCTAAAGTCACAGCTATTTCTAGATAGAGGGCGTAAAATATTCGAGTTTGTCCTTCGACTGTAGCCACGCCCCCTGCGGCAGTGAAGTCCAAGGGGAACATGAAGCTGTCGACTGCAGGTCTTTTTCGCACAAAACCAAAGAGGGCAACTCCTGAAAAAACAAAAAAGCACATTAATCAGAGACTTGTAAAGCAAAAACTGCCTTATAATATAAAGATATGTCCGGATATCACTCAAAGATATGTCTAACTGGAGCATGTTTCAGCAGTTTAACAAATATATTTTTTCATTTGGAAATATCTTGGGCAATAATAAAGTTGGTGAAACTGGACACTTTTTTTGAAAAGTACCTGTAACTTCTAAGATTTCCCTTTCATCGGTATAAACCATAGCATTGTGGAATTATTTTAGACTTGTGTCTTTTTAAACTTTACAGTTCATGAAAAGTTCTTGATAATTTTTACTTTTTTTTGAAACTAGAAGGTAGTTTTTTTCAAATCAATCTTCAGAATTTCAATGGAAATAACTTACCTGAAATATAATAGAAAGCCATAGAGAGGAATGGAAAGTACTTCAACCATTTTGGTTTTGGCTTCGAAGGTATTTCCGTGAGATTGTCACGATAAGCGAACTGTTGAAGCCTAATAGCCGCTAGGTTGCCCATATTTAGTATAAGAAGAAAATGTAAAGGTATTCCAACAGCTGCGAAGAGTACAGCTGCTGTCCTTCCCAAGGGTGTTCTAGGCACTGGAGCCCCAAAACCTAGTGAAAGATTTTATGTAGAAATGTGACATAGTTGAAGCGATGAAAGAATGTGCATACGTCATCAATTTTTGCATGAGATATAAGACCACAAACAAGAAACACCTTATCGTGAGATTTTCATTAAACAGTTTAATGAAAACGCAACACGTGTTTCACTATACAGTAGCTTCTTAAGACGTGTCTATACTAACTAAAATCTATATATTCAAGTTATTTACAATTTCAAGTACCCGAGTTTTACCTATCCAATTAATGACGTAACACGTCAAAGTCGTGATTGAACTCATGTCCTTCTGCTAAAAGGTGGTTTGCAAATACGGTGGTTTTCAAAGGTTGAATTGATCTTTCCATTCAAAAAACCACGGCTATGGTCTTCAATTCTTTGGGAAAAAATTCTTTCCGTTTGGCTTGACGAAATGGAGCTGTAACTAGTTAACAAACTTTCATACACGTAGTCGAGCAGCGTTAAAATTAATCGAATTCCAAACATACTGTCATTGTCCTGCACTGATGAGAGGTAATACCTCGAAACCGGTCTGTAGGTGATGAACTCGACTGATTTCAGCATGAACCTGCTACTGGATGAACGAGAGACATTTGCTGTGAGGTATCTTGCATAAATGTCTGTAGTTTTTTTCTGTCATCACTTACCAGAACCTGCAATACAGGTTCGTTGGGAGAGATGAAATTTTATTTCAAAATATTGACTTTATTCACTGTGAAATATGATTTTTATCAGTTGTGAAAATAATGATTTGTGTGGAATAAAACAATTGAAACTGTAAGAGCTTTTCAATAACAACTTGTAAACGATGTAAACTGTCAATCGGACACAAATTGAAGAAATTGCCAACGCAACGACTCACGGTTATTCAGCTACCTATCTTGCTGTCTCTAATTAAACTTTTGAAAGAAAAGGATGTTATTTAGGGGCATGTTTTTTATCGCGTATTTAGTTATTGACGCATGTGCATTCTTTTCTGCAAAACCAATACTTTAGCACTCCAGAAGTTGCTGTTATCAATTACCTAGTGTGGTGAGTAGAGAAACCGCAAACAAAATGCACCCTGGATAAGTCCAAATATTTCCTCCTCCTCCTTCTCCAAACCCTGCACCTACAGCATCTAGGAATAGAACTTCGTGCTTCTCGAAATATTTGTGTATTGTAACGGGCCACCCATCCTGATGGCCTTCAGTTTGTTTGAGATTCGTGGCTAATTCTACTGAGAGATCTTTCTGGAGTTTGGCTAAGGTTTGGTATTGTTGCAGCTCTCTTGGCCCTAATGGAGACAGAAAGAATAAATATAATTTTCTGTGGCCCCCATACGAACGACAACTCTCAGAAGTTGAGAAACTTGTGCGAGCTAAGGACTAACGAGGTCTTACCTTTCAACGTGTGATTCCTAACACGGTAATTATAATACATCGCTTGATTAATTGATACAGTTCATACTTAATTAAAACGAGTAATCATTTTAGGTATATTTTGAGATCAATAAAAAGTATTTTAATATGGCAAAAATAAAAGAAAGATTCTGTGGCATTTTCAGTAGCATGTGGGCTAATTGAAAGCATAAAATATTCCTTTGGTTGTGAGAAGCCTTTTTGTTGGAAGACCACTTGAGTGCAGCCTACATCCAAAAGCTTTGCCAAAATGGTTATAACTGTAACACATAATGTTAGACCACTTTAAAACTGACCTGGTATCTTTAAAGAATAATGCTGAGTAAAAGAAGTTTGAACATATTGGTCGTTTCAAAAGTTTTGCCCTTTTTTATGAGTCTACTTTGAAATGTAATATATACCTAACTTAATACTTCAGTGAACTTTCGATGAAGACCGTTTTGACTGGTCCTGATTAGCGAAGGTTCTACCGATGAGAAAGTTATCGAAGTTTTCGAAAAAATGGTAGTAGGTTGGCGAGAGACCTGGGAAGTATGGTGGCTGAGGCAAAAGTTCGCCGCTTGATTCGTTTGTTTTTCGGATGGTGATTTGTGAAACGTGCGGATGAGCGTTGTCGTGGAGTAGGATCGGACCTCTTCTGTTGAACAGTGCCGGCTGCTGCTGACGCAATTCTCGGTACATTTCGTCGATTTTCTCACAGTAGTACTCTGCTGTGATTGTTTGGCCCGGTTGCAAAGAGTTAAAGTGAATTACACCAGCCGCTGACCTCCGAACAGTAACCATTTTTTTTGTTGGTTTTCGCCTTTAGAAAGTGCATGGGTGGCTCATCGGTGGCTGAATGTCTCCTGTTGTCGTAGAGGATCCACTTTTCGTCACGAGTGACGATTCGATCCAAAAAAAGATCGATTTGGTTGCGCGAAAGTAAACAAGAACAGACCTCGAAACGTGACAATTTCTGTCATCGTTCAAATCGTGGGGTACCCACTAGCTATTTGGGCTTCACTTTTCGAGCTATTTGGCCTTCCCAATACGTTTTAAACCATAACAAACCGCATGGGGGCCGACGTCCAGTTCTTTAGCCAACCCACACAACATTTGTGGTGGGTCAGTGTCCACCAGGTTCCTCAAATCCTCATGAATATTTGAAACAACCAAATACATATTCCTTTACACTGATGGCATAAATGAAATACCTACATATACACGCACATACGACAAAGACGACAAACATTAGGTTATAAAGAGTGATCCCATTATGGTTCATATTTCATAAGTAGTTTACAAAGATCCTGTAGATACAACAAACGGCTGAGGCAATTTATCATAGAATAATAATAATATTCGATGGCCGAATAGTAAGTTTTTTTCCGAGTGTTCAAAATTGGTGTGGGATTTTCTTGTATTGTTTTTTCCTTGTTGAGTTTATGAGTATACATAGTCTTAGGAAGAGGAAGAATTATACTATATTCATTATAACATCCCCAGTTACATCAAAATCTGCATTTACTTATTTATTCGTCTAAGCGATAGATATAGATGTTAAGATTGGTACCAGTAGTTGGCCAGTTCAATTCATTTCTCAATAGGCACTTATACTATTCCTTGATTCCAATAGACTTAATTAAGGTTAAAGTATAACAAAAGTTTCTAATGATCCAACTTCCACGAAACAATTTCGCAATCAATTACTCCAAGGTAACACAAGCAAGTGCTGAGTTTGACTAACACCATGCCAAATCAAGTCGTATGGAAAAAACAAAACTGAAACCGCATTGCACCAGGTCAGAATAACGCTAATATCAGAACAAATCTGATTTTATTAAGTCGTCACGGCGGATCCTTACAATATTTAATGAAGAAGTAATCGTGGTTTTTCGTAAAGGAAACACGATAGTTTGCCAAGAGTTGGAAATTCAATAATAGGACAGTATAGACGAGGTGAGTTAACATAAATGGGAAAATCAATGACCACATGGAAACAAGTTTTTTCCAAGCGGCACGACACGGCGATTTCCAGACACTGACACATACATTCGGGTAAACACAAGTGCCGATCGATTTGTTGTACCGACGTTACAATAACACAAATCAATGAAGGCTCACACATTTTTGATTCCCACAAGAAATAACAGTTTAACAACACTAACGATGCTCGATAATGAGAACTCAGCCTCAATATAGTGTTTTCAAAATGCATTTGTTGAACTGTAATATAAAAAATATTCATTTCATGTTAGTGCTCTAACGAAAAAATATTTTATATTTCTGTTTAAAATCTGTTTTTCCGTTAATCAGCTGTCGCCCCCATACGAACGACAACTCTCAGGAATTGAGAAACTTGTGCGAGCTAAAGACTAACGAGGTCTTACCTTTTAACGTGTGATTCCTAACACGGTTGCAGAATCATCCCAGCATCCCAGATACATTCTTTCGGGAAAAATATCTGGTCGAGGCGGGAATCGAACCCACGGTCTTCCGATTGTGAGTCGGGCGCGCTACCACCGCGGCCAATTCCACAAATTCAAGTAATACTTTACCGTGAAATTTTCACTGAACAGTTTATAAAACAGCATCACGTGTTTCACTATACTTATATTAGATTCTTCATGCGTGTTCAAATTAACTACATGAAATAAAGAAAATTACCTGAATTTACGTATTAACTAATTACCAATTTCAACCTCAGAAAACAGATTTGATAATTATTGATAAATCAATTTCATTTGGTCATTCAGGTCATTCTAACAGATTGAATTTCAAACTTTTCTCTTCTAAATGTAACACGTCATAGTCATGATTGAATTCATGTCCTTCTGCTAAAAGGTGGTTTGCAAATGTGGAATTGATGTTTCTATTCAAGAAACTACTTCTATGTTTTTTTTTTTTTTGGGAAAGGTTGCTTTTTGATTATTTTTTTCACTCTTTGAGGGTTATTCCCAACAACTAGTATGTCGTTGGGTTATTCCAACCTACTGCTTTGGATGTATCAAATTAAAGAATTATTCTTCAACAGACATTGGATTGAATTTGAATATATATAGCGTAACAAAATGTTTCTCTTTTCAAGTCGATGTTTTGGGCTATGAGAGTTTCATCAATTCCAGATTTCGCATAGAAAACAGTCATCCGCTAAATACCACAAAAAAACTTTGATATCCTGGGACATCGTAGGAATTGTCTTATTTCTATAGATACTTTCACGAGAACTGTTTGGCCGATACATTTTAGCGAGAGCAGAATATAAGAAAAATAAAAAACTAAATTATTTCATAAGAATTTTCAACATCATCATAGATTAATGAATTAAGTACCCCAGGAATACCGAATACCGCGTAGATGTGGTCCGTTCTACATGAAAATGAGCGTGAAAACGTGCTTGACTGACCATAAAAGAAATTGCCACTACGTCCAAACAGATGAATCGACAGTTTGCAGAACAGGCTCTCTTAGAGGGCAGCCATGACCACACAAATTCTTGATAAAATCAGAGGCTATTCAGAGATGCCACAAGGTTTGTTCTGGTTCTCAGTTTGTACTGTTTTGAATCGTCCAAAATCAGTGAGTCAGTTGTGGACTGAAAAGGTTAACGCGACAGTTGGGTGACTGTTTTCTGATTGTTAGGAACAGTCCGGACAGAGAACCAGAACAAGCCTATGGAAATACATAAACATAAGAATAATTTCAATTGTAGAAGAGCTTGAACATCAATAAAACATGGATACCTGCACTTCATAACACAAAGATTCTCTCAATAATTGAAAAAAAATCGGACAATCAGGTACAAGAGCATTCGGCCGTCCGACACCGAGCCCCGAGTATAGGATCTTCCAACAGGGACTTCTTCGGCGATCTTGTTGAAGCTACATTTGTCAAATTAGTTGTTATTGATTGGTTGATAAATTCATGTCCATGGTTCAGTAAACGATCGACCAACACCCGTACATCGACGAAATGCAAGATCTGCCGAAAACATCGCCACTGTCTGTGAGAACCTGCAGGAGAATCCGAGGCAATCGATTTCGCGTCGCTCACAAGAACTCGGCCTTTCGCAGACCACAACTCGCGAACTATACCTCTTCAATTATGATTCCCTAAAGCATATTATCTCACTTTATACATCAATAATAATACTTCCTCGGTTTTTTAAGAATCAATAATGGTGATCTATTCAAATCCACTTAGTCATTCATTAAAATGTTCAAATTTTTAAGGAGGTAGTCACAATTGTAGTTACCTGTGGTACATAAAAATATTAGCGGAAGAAGAAACTTGTAGGTAGTATTCAAATCACTATTGAAGACGCTACTGTGCTAGCGAAACATGTTGTGATATATTTTTAAAATAAAGTTTGTGGGGATTAAATCGTGGGGTGTAGTTTATGAAATTACCATGGATCTTCATCAAGTAACGGCCGAATCAATCAGAAAAAAAAAACAAAATTGTCGAATTCAGGACCAGTACACATGAGATCCAAGAGCGTCCAATGCATCCTGAAAAAGTCACTGCGTGGATTTTGGGCTGGCCAAGCGATCATTGTCAACGACGAGTACTATAGATCGATGTTTACCAAATTTTTTTGGCCTGAATTGGAGGATCTGGACATAAATGACATGTGGTTTCAACAGGACGGCGCTACTTGACACACAGCCTATGCCACATTGAATATTTTTCACGAGTGATTTGAGGGTATGGCCATCTTACGTGGAGGTGATGGGCACCGATATTGTGCGATTTGACCCCGTTTTACTTTTTCTTGTAGGATTTTTTCTTAAACCGCAGGTGTATGCGAAAAAAACACAAATCACAGCGGTCCTCAAAGCCAACATAACCAATACCATCGGTCAAATTCAGTCTGATTCATGCGTCAGAGTCATGG